CCCGCCCCAGACCATGCGTCTGAAGATGCTGGACATGTACAGTGGCTGCGGTGCCATGTCCACGGGGATTGAGATGGGCGGCACTCCCAGGGGCGTCACCATAGACACTGTGAGTCAGGCACTGGGATGGGATGTGTGAATCCGAAGCCCTCACACTTATTTGATTGTTTCGTTGGAGAAAGGCCTGCGTTACATGAGTCCATCTCACGCCGTTTACGGCCGTTAATCCTGTTATTGCAGTTACCGCCGGTTGTCTTCAAATGCGCCCCTCTCATGCTGTTACTACTGCTGCCATGACTTTGCTTGCCCCGTGTGATGCCATTGCCGTGCTGGTCTGTGTGTGGACTTCAACGCAGATGCACGCGTATTTTGAGCTGACTCAAATATTGCCGGTTACCTTCAAACGTGCCCCTCTCTTGCTGTTACTGCGGTGACTGTGCTTGCTGTGTGCGTGCCCCGTGTGATGCAGTGTTGGTCCGTGGACTTCAACGCGGCTGCATGCGAGAGCATGAAGTACAACCACCCGCTCTGCCAGGTGTGTACACACCCGCCAGACGCGTGCAACCACTCCTGTTTTGTTTTGTAGTGCAACGCAAATGGACATGCTTTTGGGTGATCCTTGAGATTCTAAACAGGCAGGTTCTTACGCGTCTATCTCCAGTATGGGAACAATGAAAAACAGAAAGAATCTATTGCAACACTTTGTGCCTTGATTCTGCGATCAAAAGCATCCCTTTCAAACACTGCTGTCCTGCTTTTTACCCCCCTCTATCCTCACTCCTTCCCGTTTCCATGTCGTCGTCGCCTCGAGCCCAATGGGCTGATGAGCTCTCACTGCTGCTTCTGAAAGAGCCATGCACGCACTTAACTCCTGGGCTGGTCCTACCGCTTCCTTCTGCCGAGCTGGTTTTACGCACCCGAACAATGCACCCCCTTGACTTTCCCTCACGGCTCCTGCCTTTCCTCCTACTCCCATCCCATCCTCCCCCATCCTCCCCTTCTCACACTTCTCGCCGCCTGCTCAGGTGCGCAATGAGACTGCAGACGAGTTCCTGGTGATTCTGAAAGAGCTGCCGTCCCTGCTGGAACGTTACTCTGTGAGCTCAGCAGCTGCTGCTGATGCAGTGTTCATGGATGGCGAGAAAGGCGGTAAGGCTGTTGCGCATAAACATAAGGTCGTGCACCACTCGCATCACCAGCACCAGGAGCAGCAGCAGGAGCAGCAGCAGCAGCAGCAAGAGCAGGAGCAGGGAGGTGAAGGGTCAATGGCGAAGGTGGAAAACACCAAAGAGGTGGAAATGGGAGATGCGGAAGAGGCTGCAGGGAAAAAGGAGGAGTTAGAGGAAGTGATGGAGGAGGTAGAGGACGAAATAGAGGAGGTGGAGGAGAGAGGGAGGGGGAAGAGGAAGAGGAGGGCATCAGCTGAGAAGGGCGAGAAGGCGAGGACATCAGGCCGGAACAAGAGGCAGAAGGAGGGACAGCAGAGCAATGGTGCTCCCAGCAATGTCAACTCTGGGAAGGAGATGGCGAAGGCGGAGGAGGATGAGAGCAGTGATGAGGAGGTTGACGAGGGGGAGTTTGAGGTGGGGCGGATTGTCGGGGTGAGGTACATTGCTGCCACGGAGAAGGGACGGCCAGCTGGCATTTACTTCAAGGTGAGATGAATTGCAGCGAGACGTGAGTTGGACCCTTGTTCTCTCTTGCTTCTATGCTTGACGGCTGCAAATGTCCTCAATTCCCAACTCCTGCATCTTGACTGGCTTATACTCCTCTCTGGTTCCTTCTCCCTTTGCTGTTCCCCTCCGTTTTAGATCTGAGTAGTTGCATACAGGTGGATTATGCGAGGAGATGCACATGTGCTGTTCTTGCCCTCTGCACCGCGCTCAACCTACGCCTGTGTTGGGGATATTCGGTCTCTTATCTGCAGGTTCAGTGGAAGGGGTACGGACCAGAGGAGGACACCTGGGAAGGGGAAGACAGTCTCAGGTGAGTGCTCTATGCCACATGTGGTGGCTTTCTTGGTCAGCTCAAGAGCATCAGGTGAATGACTTTTGAGACGTCTCAAAAGACGACTTTTGCGACGTCTCAAAAGACACCTGGGAAGCAGAAGAGAGCCTTGGGTGAGTGCTGTATGCCACATGAGGTGGCTTTCTTAGTCGGCTCAAGAGCATCAGGTGAATGGTCACTACCATACCAGAATCGGTTGTGCCACCAAACTATACCAGGCCATGCTATGCCAAGGCAACCAACAGTAGGACGTTCACCTGCCCCGAACCAGTTTGGACCTTTTCTGCTTGCTTTCTTTCCTGTTCAAGGAAAGCGTGGTGTGTGAGCACACTCTATCATCGCACAACATGATGTGCCATGCCATGTCATGCCAACCAGTCGCTTACAGCAAATTGTCATAATTTATCAAGAACATTGCAATGGCATAACCATGGCAACACAATGCCATCTGCGCATGCGCTCTCTGTTGCTTGTTGCTGCAGCTCGTGCAAGCCGGCTATCAGGGACTACCTGGTGGAGGTCAAGGAGAAGAAGCTGCTGCCTCTGCCGGTAAGAAGGGCATACTTGCAGGTGCTGCCTCATGTCTTAATTGTTGCTGCAGCTCGTGCAAGCAGGCAATTCGGGACTACCTGGTGGAGGTGAAGGAGAAGAAGCTGCTGCCTCTGCCGGTAAGTAAGAAGTGCATAGGTGTTACCTTGCCTCAGCTCTTGTTTCTTCGTTGCTGCAGTACCCATGCAAGCAGGCTATCCAGGACTGCTCCCAAAGACTACCTAGTGGAGGTCAAGGAGACGAAGCCATAGCCGGTACTGCTCCCGTAGCCGGTACGAGGCGCATAGACGCTGGTAAGCTGCTCCCTGCTCTTGGTTCTTTGTTGCTGCAGCTCGTGCAAGCAGGCTGGGACCGTCTGGTGGAGGTGAAGTGGAAGACGTTGCTCCTTTGCTGGTGAATGGCGCACAGCTGCTGCTAGTGCTGTCTTAGATCCTGGTTGTTTGTTGCTGCAGCTCGTGCAAGCAGGCTGGGACCATCTGGTGGAGGTGAAGTAGAAGAAGCTGCTCCCTTTGTTGGTGAATGGCGCACAGCTACTGCTGGTGCTGTCTTAGATCCTGGTTGTTTATTGCTGCAGCTCTTGCAAGCAGGTTACTGCCACCTTGCAGCGCGTTTGATGGTAATGCTTTTCTGTCAAAAGACCAGCACTGGGAATGTTCGATTGATCCTACAGAAGGGTTACAGGCTCGTTGGCCTAGGCGGTTATGAGCGCACTGATCCGCTACTTATCAAGCCTTTTTATCCCAGTGGTCTAATGTTTGGGATTTCTGACATAGTATAAGAACGAAAGTCGCGGGTTCAAATTTCCATGTGTGCACACGCTGGCGCTGCCATTGTGCCGTGTTCTAGGGCATCCTTGTGAGGAGGGGTGTCAAAAGACCAACACTGGGAATGCCTGGGGGGTTATGAGCGCTCTGACCCGCTATTTAACAAGGTTTTTTATCCAAGTGGTCTAGTGGCTCAGATTCTGACATTTTCTCCACCCACCCCAATCCCACGGCAGGGCGATGTGGACATCATCTGTGGAGGCCCCCCCTGCCAGGGCGTGAGCGGCTTCAACCGCTTTCGCAACACGGAGGACCCGCTGGCGTGCGAGAAGAACCGGCAGCTGGTGGTGTTCATGGACCTCGTGGGGTGGCTGGCGCCCACGTGGGTGCTCATGGAGAACGTGGTTGACCTCATGAAGTTCAAAGAGGGCATACTAGCTAAATTACGCCATCGCCCGCCTCGTCGCCATGGGCTACAAGGTGAGCTGGGGTGGGGGGAAGGGGGGGAGAGGGGTGCGTGGAGGGTACGCGTGAGGAGGCACGAGGGTACGTGTGAGGGGATGTCGCAGAAGGCTGTCTCGCCAAATTCGCCATCGCCCGCCTTGTCGCATGGGGTACAAGGTGAGCTGGGATGGCGGGAGGGGGGGCGGGGAGGGGGAGGGTACGTGTCGACCACTATCTTCATAGGTTTGCTGGAGTTTTTCACAAAAATCACCAACTGTTTTGCACCAACATAACTCTCAAGGCCCCCAATAAACAGTTGCGTCTATTTTCTTCACCGCTCCCTTTTCCCCTCCCTGCAGTCTCGCACGGGGATCATTGCCGCCGGGTGCTTCGGAGTCGCTCAGTTTCGCCTCCGAGCATTCTTCTTCGGCGCCTTGAATGGCCATGTATGTAAATATTCACATTCTTCTGTGATGAAATTTTTGTTGTTGATATGCATTTTCTTTGCCCATTATACAGAGGGGGGTGTAGCACACGCTACTCTCGAATCACGTCTCCCAAGGCGAATAATGGTTTGACTCTAAGGGACGTCTGACCGTCACTCCTCCCACTCATGCTGTCTTAGCCAAGCCTCCCTTTTGTCATCATCTGATGCATGTGTGGATCAGTGCTCATCCCCATTCCCCGTGCATCCCCTGCTCATCCCCCTCGCCCCCCATTTCCCCCCTTCCCCCCAATCCCCTTGCCTCCCACCCCTTTCAATCCCTTCCCCCCTCCCCTCTTCTCCACCTTCTCCATCTCAGGCGCTTCCGAGCTTCCCCTTACCCACACATCTCGTCGCGAAGGAAAGAGGCACCGTGCCCACGCGCTGGATGGTGAGTGCTGACTGTCTGTGATTGCCCACGAGCTTTTAATGAAGGACCTTTCTTCTTGAAAATTTCTTCGTTACAATCAGGCCGACAGTGCACTTACATTCTTTCCAGGTGAACCAAGTCCCATGATGTCGTTTGTTTCTGTCGGTGTTTATGATGCTGCAGAGGAACTTTGTTGGGTGGGAGGAGAAGTCTCCCGTGCTGAAGACGCTGAAGCCTGCACTCGTGCTAAAGGACGTGATATCTGATCTCCCACCGGTGAGAGCTCACAGTAGCTGTTGTTCGGATAATGTGACCAGCACTCGTTTTGATATCAAGTGTTTTTGTATGAATGAATGGGTTGAAGGATATCATCTCCGCACCTATCGGACAGCGAACCTGAGTAAAGTCCTAGATCTGCACGTATCGGACAACGAAATTCACAAAATATTTTCAGCCGAATTCTCTAACTGTTTAGGCTTCCGTGTCGAACCTTTGTAAGTCCGATGCGATATCAGGTCGAACCAATCGAGTTTCGTGGCTCAGCATCCCAAGTCTATTCTGAGCAGGTTATATTATAATCTACCAAGCTCACATTCAACTTGTGCAGGTGACAAACGCCACGACTACTGACGTCATGGATTACACCAAGCCACCTGCCAACAACTTCCAACGATTCATACGCCTCCCGAAATCCGGTAAGCTAAGCTCGATCAGCATTGGTCTGTTTTGTCGGATCCCGCAGCCCTGCACGCCCAAGGAGAGTGCGCGCACCTTCATGCAGAGTCCGGTTGAACCACTCAGCCACGCCGATCTGCTGAGAGTTGTAAGGCACTGTGAGCTGATGCTGGATCCCCTTCCTTTTCAGCTCCCCCTCAAAATCAGCGCCAATGAACTCTCCTCCATTGTCGGTGCGGATCACCTTCACCTTGTGTCCGCTCTTTTTTTGTTCATTGTCTATCCTTGAATTGATCTCCCCATTCAGTCCCTTCGACCTAATTACCCCGTTTGATCCTACAACTTCTCGCACCCTCTCCCAGGCTTTGTAATATACGTTTTCTCCTCCTCCCGTTGTTGTGTGGCCTTCCAATCGCCTCCCCCAGGTGCCACCTCCCCGAGCTCGCCCTGGTCATGGTAAACCTCAAATTCCTAGATCAAGATTTTTGAGTCGACTCATATCATCTTTTCTGCTCTCCCTGTTGTCGTGCAGCCTTCAGGCCACCTCCCCCAGATGCGACCTCCCCGAGCTCGCCCTGGTCGTGGGATGAGAACCCCAAGCTGCTGGACCACCGCACGCACAACCTCAATGCTGATGACTTCTACCGCGTGGAAAGGATTCCCAAGCGAGAGGTGAGCTTTGAGGCACCGAAGAAATGATTGCAAGGGTTTTCAAGTGCGAGGTGAGCCCTTTCAGCGAGTGCTAGAGGGCGTACTTGAGGGTGTTGAGGGCAAATCTGAGGTTGAGATTGAGGTCGAGGGGGCGCATTCGATGTCATAAGGGTTTATGCACACAACCCAGCTGTTTCAGTTACCAGAATCTGACCAGTTACACTCTGCATTTTGGGGCACGATTATGCGTTACGAAGCGGTTCTCTTCGGAGGCGTGTGCATGATCCCCTCCCTCCACCTGCCCCCTCCGCCTCTCCTCCTCCCTGCTCCCCCCTCTCCGCTCCTCCCTCTCACCATGTGAGGAACTGTTATCGCAATCCAACATCCTCCCCCAACCATCCCCATCCGCGCCTCACCCCATGCAGGGAGCACAGGGACCTGCCAGGAGTGCTGACCAACCTTGCCACCAAGAAGTGCTCCTCTCTTTATTGTTGTTATAATATAAGGCAACATCCTCTTGCACCCATTCCCATTCGCGCCTCTCCCAATTCAGGGAGCATGTTTCCGGGACCTGCCAGGAGTGCTGACGAACCCTGTCACCAAGAAGTGCTCCTCTCTTCAGCCCACCCCTCCCCTCCCACCCCGTGTTTTCCACCTGAGTGGATTGTTGTTACAAGCCAGCAACAAGCCTCCATCTTTCATCCCCCTCCGCGTTTCTTCCCATGCAGGGAGCATGTTTCCGGGACCTGCCGGGAGTGCTGACGGACCCTGTCACCAAGAAGTGCTCGCTGGACAAGTCTCTCCAACCCCGCCCTTTCATCCCGCACTCGGGCAGCCCTCTGGTGAGAACAGTGCTTCTGACGCGACTCAAGTGTCACTTCTGCACTCGGGCAGCCCTCTGGTGAGAACAGTGCTTCTGACACGACTCAAGTGTCACTTCTGCACTCGGGCAGCCCTCTGGTGAGAACAGTGCTTCTGACGCGACTCAAGTGTCACTTCTGCACTCGGGCAGCCCTCTGGTGAGAACAGTGCTTCTGACGCGACTCAAGTGTCACTTCTGCACTCGGGCAGCCCTCTGGTGAGAACAGTGCTTCTGACGCAACTCAAGTGTCACTTCTGCACTCGGGCAGCCCTCTGGTGAGAACAGTGCTTCTGACGCGACTCAAGTGTCACTTCTGCACTCGGGCAGCCCTCTGGTGAGAACAGTGCTTCTGACGCGACTCAAGTGTCACTTCTGCACTCGGGCAGCCCTCTGGTGAGAACAGTGCTTCTGACGCGACTCAAGTGTCACTTCTGCACTCGGGCAGCCCTGTGGTGAGAACAGTGCATGCTGTGGTTCAGACAGGCCCAGCCTCAGAGGCTCAGGTTTATCGAGCCCAATCCCAGTGGAGTGCTGACAGACCCTGCCACCAAGAAGTGCTTGCTGGACAAGAGTCTCCAGCCCCGCCCAATCATCCCGCACTCGGGCAGCCTTCTGGTGAGAACAGTGCATGATGTGGTTTAGACAGGCCCAACCTCATGGGACTGTTCTGTTCTTCAGGCGCCTCAACAGTAGAATCGAGTTTAGAGAGGCCCAGACTGAGAACAGCTGACAGACTCTGCCTGTCACCAAGAGTGGTGACGGACCATGTCACTGGGCTCCTTGAGCAGTGGGCTGATCACCTTGAAGGCGCCTAAAAAAAAATCAAGGAATCGTCAATGTCCCAACTCTGCCATGACATTTGAGAAATTACTCAAAAACTCAATTCTCTCCTCCGTTTCGCTCTCCTCCGTTTTGCTCTCCTCCGTGTTATTCACACTGCAGTGCCCTGACTATGCCATATCATTTGTGAAAGGCACCTCCTTCAAGTATGTCCTCTGGCCCTCACAACTGCCTGCACTCACCTGTTTTGTTGCTCCGCTGCCATGTATCCCAAGTTAATGGTTTCAGGTTAAGGGAACTGTACCTGAGGCCATATCGTAAAAAGCGTGTACCATGTTCTGTCAAATGTTTTCATCTGCTTTCCGTTTCATCAGGCCCTTTGCTCGTCTGTGGTGGAATGACACGGTCCCAACTGTTGTCACTCGACCCGAGCCTCACAACCAGGTAAGCCCAAGGCACTGGATGACATTCCAGTAGACCGGCACACAGCGAAAGTTAACTGACAGAGATACAAGTTAATTGAGGGATTACACATTTTTCCGAAAGAAACGGCAAAGTGAACCTGGGATGTGCAGTTGGGCAACAGCTTGAGTTATGGGCGATATTGAGTATGCACACGCTTTCAAGCCACCGCATGGACCGTTGACCGGATTCCTTCCTGTATGATTCCCTTGCAGAAAATTCTTCACCCGGAGCAGGATCGGGTGCTGACTGTGAGGGAGAATGCTCGGCTCCAGGGCTTCCCAGACCATTACAAGCTGTTCGGCGATGCAAAGGAGCGGTAAGAGGTTTTGCAGTACTGTTTTTGTAGCAAAAAAATAGATACTACAAGGTGCTTCATTACAATCTCTATTTGTCTTGCCCAGGATCTTTGGCAGAAATTTTGCATTTAACTTGGATCACCATGTGTCGTTGCAGGTACTGCCAAGTAGGCAACGCAGTATCAGTGCCGATTGCCATGGCTCTCGGATACTCCATCGCAGGAGCTGCACTAGGAGGCACCTCTACTGCCACCTATGGCCTCCCAAGCTCCTTTCCCTATTTTCACTAATTACTCTAAGAGAGTGTTGTCACTGTTTCGACTGAAGTTTCTGCATTTTTTTTTTTGCTGAGGTACGGTATTAGAATCCTTAATTATGTCACATACTTCATTATAAACCACAAGCTACCGCTTTGTCAAAATGCACAGTTCCAATGTCCCATCTCTCACGGCTTGTCGGTTTCCGGGCAACAAATCTAAATGCGGCTGGGGCAGCCTCCTCGAAGATTCATTTCGAAACCAATTGGAACAATGCCCAACCCAGGGTGCTTCTGCCCGAAACGAAAAAATTGCCAGGTTTCAAGGATGAAAAATCCTGGCATTTTTTTTAGAGAATCATCCCGCCGTTCATCTCTTCATCATCCAACGAAATCGAGAGTTTCAACTCGATTGAAGCACCCTAACGAGGTTCGCTCAAAGCGCGGCAATCCCAATGGTTCGAGGTGGCTGGGGGAGGATGGTGGTGGTGGTGAGGCGACGAGGCGAGGTTGGTGAAACTGAAACTGATGAATCTTCTACTATTGCTCGCCTCCCGTTCCTCCTGAAAGAAATATACCATCAGCCATGGTTGTTGCTGGGTTGAACCGTTACTGCAAGTAGTGTCTGTTTGACCAATGGTCCTGGCTATGGTAGTGGAATGCGATACCTAAATACGCACCCTGTGTGAGTCTATGGGTAGTTCTCCTGCTACGTCTTTCATTGACGCGCCATTGACGACTCTGTTTCATACGCTGGGGTGAGCATTTTAGGGTTTGGAAATTAGTACCGAGGCACATGATCTCCACGACGTTCTCGTTACTCAGTTGTAGAGCCTTCTCTGTGCTAGAGCGGCCAATGCTGCATTTGCTGGTACTTCACCAGCAGCCGCTTTCCGACTCCTAGAACACCTGACCTGATAGTCTGCGAATCCAGCTCGAATCCCTGAATCACGATATAGCTCTTACTGTCATTTGAAAATTTCTCTTGGAGATTTCTCTCATTACGGTTGCAACACAGTATACAGCTCGTAGAACCATTCGGTAGATTAAAAAACGCTGACAACACAATGGAACAGGTCGTAGAGTGTAACCCTGAGATAGAGAGGGAGCGAGCCAAGGAGAGAGCTCTAGAGCGACGGATCGACAGCCTCTCCTGCGGTACAAGTTCCTTCGGCGCTACGGTGGACAGCCATGGATACGAAGGCACCCGTGAGTCCGAACAATACCGTGGGTACAGTCCACCTGACGGTAACGATAACGATCACGGAGCTCGAACAGTTGCCGGCCGGCAAGAGCTGGACTACCGTCAGGGTTCGCAGTACCGTCAGAATGTGGATTACCGTCAGGACGCGAACGACGGTGCTGACGTGGAGCCGCCGTATCACATGTTCGCGAAGAGCGCGACGACCGTCGCACAGCCGGCCAGACACAGCGGCCTCGGATTCGGAGAATCGCCGGTACATTCCCTAGACGTGCCACGTCAGCGGAGCTTCAGGGAAAGGAGATCCAACTACGACATGGGTCAAGGGAACGTAGGGTTCGGAGAATCCCCCGTTCACGGGGCAGATTTTCCACGTCAGCAGAGCCTGAGGGAGCGGCGAGAACGGAGGTATTTACCCCACGCGTCGCGAGCTGCAGTTCCGCAGTCCTCTAGCATCTCGCCGTTTCGGGTCCGCGTGAATCCGCGAGCAGGTGTAGCAGATGCACTCGTTACCAGCAGCCCCGATTTAAGAGTCAACTACGCGCCTCCGCAGGCTCTCGAAGCGGCGCTGGATCCGCGGCGTCAAGCCACATCAACGTCCGCGCCTCGAAGCCGCGTGCCGGCTGCCGAACCTCAGCCGTCTAGGAGCGTGCGTGAGATCCGACGGTCACGATCGGCTGTCCCGAAAACTACGGATACGGCGGAGCTGCTAGGAGGCGACTTTACAGAGGAAGAGCTTCGAGATTACCTGCTTCACCATCCACACGAAGATCAGTCCTCTTCACCTGCTCCCTCCCAGCTGATCAGCAGCAGTAGCAGCGGCAGGGAGCCTTACCCGCAAGATTTCCCCCAAACCTACCCACAAGCCTATCCCGGATCCTTCTCGCAAAATCACCTACAGAATCCCGAACGACCGCCGGACCACTTATGGGACGGGTCAGCGGAAGTATGGGATCGGGAAAGGGATCGGGAAGGGGAGAGGGAGAGGGAGCGCGAGAGCGGCGGAAACACGAGCTCGAGCCACGCGAGCGGCGCCAGCCATTCGAGCGTGGGGCGCAGCAGATCCAGCGTTCCGCGCAGCGGAAGCAGGAGCAGATCGGGTTCCGCCAGGCGCGGGGTTCCGCGCGTGAGCAGCACGGGCGGGGGGAGAGTGCAGCGGTCCGCGTCTGTGGGTCTATCGGATTCGGCGGAAGAGGAAGAGGAGGAGGACGACGGGGAGGAGTTTTTGACTTCGGTTCCGCCTGCTGCTATGGATGTTCTGTTGGGAAACACGGGGAAAAAGACCGCGGCTGGCGGGTGGAGAAAATCCGCGTCTACGTCATCAGCTGGTGCGACTGTAGCCACAGGGGGGCAGGGGAGGGCGAGGGGAGCGCAGACGGCAGGGCAGGGGTGGGGGCAGGGGATAGGGCAAGCGGCGGGGGAGAGTGGAGGGCAGGGGTTGGGGCAGGGAGTGATGGGGGGAAACAGCTGGGAGAGAAGGGTGGAGGCGCAGGGGGAAGCGATGTATGGCGGGCCGGGAGAGGAGGAGGACGAGGATGGGGTGCTGGAGGCGTACGCTGTGGATGATTTGGAGGAGCTGGATGCGGTGGAGGGTGGTGATGGTGGTGCATGGATGGTGGAGAGCGGTCAGCTGGGAGGTGGGGTTCAGGAGATGCAGCAGCAGTTGCAGCTGCAGCAGGGATACCATATGGCGCAGCAGCACCAGCAGCCGCAACAGCTTTACCAGCATCAATACCCCAACGAGTACCACCAGCAACAGCAGTACTACCAGCAGCAGCAGTTGCGCCAGCAACAGCCACAGCCGCAACTACAACCCTACCAAGACCCGTCCCTTCAGCAACAGCAACTGCCACTGCAGCAGCACCCACAACAGCAACACCAGCAGCCGCAGCAGCAGCAGCAGCAGCAGCAGCAGCAGCAGCAGGAGACAGGGTACAATCGTCAGTCGAGAAACCCCCCGCCAGAGTTCCACTCCCCGCGGCACCTAGAGGAAATGAGGCGCCGTTCTTCCTCTCTCTCGCCTTCACGTGGCACCGTCTCTGCCTCTGCCTCCGTCTCAGCCTCTGCCTCTGCCTCCTTCTCAGCCTCTGCCTCAGGAGATCGCTCTCCTCTCCACACTGCCGCAGCCGGTCGCCCCGACTGCGCCTCACCTCTCAGAAGCACCGCCCCTGGGGTCTCAGGCAGTGCCTCTCCTGCTGCTGGGTATGGGGGCGGCGGGGCGTACGGGCAGCAGGGGCAGCAGGGACAGTACGGGCAGCAGGGGCAGCAGGGGCAGTATGGGCAGCATGGGCATTCCAGCAGCAGCGGTAGCCTGGGGCATGTGTCTCCTACACTTGCTCGTCTCTCGCCTGGCTCGGGCCATGCCTCTCCCTCCAGGGGTCGTGCCAGTCCGGGCCATGCATCCCCTGGGCGGGGCTATGCTGCTCTCGGCCCTCCAGATCGTGAGCCTCGCGACGGTGCACTGACTGGCTTGCCTGCTGCTGCTATCGGTGCTGCCGATGCTGCTGGGTCTGCCGGTGCTGCTGCCGGTGCTGCCGGTGCTGCTGCTGCCGGTGCTGCTAGTGCTCGCTCGCCTGCTGCTGCTGGTCGTGGGGCGTATGGAAGAAGCCAAGGGGTTGAGAACGGTGGAGGGGGGCGGATGTCCGCGCAGGCAGGCGCGGAGCAGCAGAGCGGGGAAGAGCATTCTGCAGGAAGGGCGGACGGGCGGGTGGGGGGAGCGGAACCGGCAAGGGCAAGCCTGAGCGGAGGAGGGGCGCGGGAGGCGGAGGAGGGGAAGCAGGAGGGCGGAGAGGGACGTGTGGGGAGCGGGCGGAGAGGGGAGGACGATCTGGTTGCAGCTGCTGCTCTTGTTAGCGGAGCAGCGGGTGCTGGCGACGACAGGGAGAATGAGGCGGGGACAGGGGGAGCAGGAGTAGCAGGAGGAGGAGAAGGAGCGGCAGTAGGGGATTCAAGCGTGCTACCCTCTGTCGGTGCCGGTTCCGATGCTGGTTCTGATGCCAGTGCTGGTGCAGGGGCTGCAGCAGCAGGGGCCGCGTCAGGTGCTAGTGCAGAGGCGGGTGGTAGGAGAGGTGCGGGCGGGAATGGAAGAGGAGGAGGAAGAGGAGGAGGAGGAGGAGGAGGAGGAGGAGGAGGAGGAGGGGGTGTGTCAGAGATAGCGCTGGCACGGAACCTGAGCCTGCAGGTGAAGAAGGCAGAGCAGCAAATCTCCCTGGACAGGAATCTATCTCTGCGCAACATCAAGAAGCAGGGCAAGGACCTGGTGCCAAAACTGACCACTCTGCTCAAGAAGTCAGGTACGTCGTTTCTCTCCCTCTTCTTCTCTCCTTCCTACCCCACTCATATCCCATGCAAAAGTTGTGCACTCAGGCGAGCCGTTCTCCTTTCTCCTTCAGAAACTTACATCTTCTCCTCCTCATCTTCTCCTCACCCACTCCCTCTATCCTTCCGTCCCGTTCCCCTGCCCTCCCCTCGTCTACTCCCCCTCCAACCTGCCGCAGGGGCGGGAATAATCTATGCAGCTGCAGCAAGGCTGAGTGCAGCAGGAGCGGGCAACCTACTTTCGCCCTCGCCCCTCCCCTCCCTACTTCTCCCCCTTCCTGCCCGCACCCGCCGCAGCCAGCTCAGCAGGAGCGCGAATAAGCTATGCGGGCGCGGTAGGGCTGAGTGCAGCAGGGGCGGGCAACTTACTTTCGCCCCCGCCCCTCCCTCTTCTCCCCTTCCCTGCTCTGAACCACCACAGCCAGCTCAGCAGGCGCGGGAATAAGCTATGCGGGCGCGGCAGGGCTGAGTGCAGCAGGGGCGGGCATCAGCGCAGCGGGGGCAGGCATCAGTGCGACGGTGGGAAAAAGACCGCCCAAACCTGGAAGATCCGCGACTGAGAAGGAGCGGTCCATGCCGTCGCTCTCCATGCCCTCCATGCCAAGGTGAGTTGAGCTCCTTCCTTGTGACGTGGCTACGGTGCTAGGGTGGGCATCAGCGCGGCAGGGACGGGCATCAGTGCGACGGTGGGGAAGAGACCTCCCAAACCGTGAAGATCAGCCTCAGAGAAAGAGCGCTCCACGCCTTCGCTCCCCATGCCCTCTATGCCGAGGTGGGGATGGGGATTCGGAAGGGTACATATCATGGTGGCATGTCTTTTACTCCTTGCCATGCCAAGATACGTCTACCATTGCTCCTTATGCCGGCCATGTCAAGGTGACATGGGGATTTTTTTCTTCTTTATTTTCTCTTCTCCATTTTTTTTTTCTTCATTTTGGCCTGTCATGCCCGCAGATCGCTCACCCTCTCGAGGCACAAGGACGGGCCAGAGCGGCCAGAGAAAACTTTTGGGGACCTGCCCGCGCCCAAGCGCACTCATTTCCAATACTCTGAGCTCCAGGCAAGCATGCTTGCACCCCCACTCGTTCTCACAGTCACTCTGACGCTCACACTCACACACACTCAAGCACGTTTTCACTCACACTCGTGCTCACTCTCACACTTACTCATGCTCACACTCACACTTACTCATGCTCATTCTCACACTTACTCATACTCATTCTCACATTCACACATAGGGCGTACGACATGGGGCATTCGGCATGAGGCATGGGGCATAGAGCATAGGCAATGGTGCATGGGGATGGGAAACGGAGCTTGGAGCAAATCACTGCCTTCCCTCTCCCCTCTCCCTCCCCTCACCCTTCTGCCACCATCATCTCAGCTGGCGAAGGGGAATTTCGACAAGGCCAATGTGCAGGGCCAGGGCGGCTTTGTTTTTTTCTTCTCCCTTCTTATTCTAATATCATAATCTCCTCACCCCTCTCCCTCTCCTCACCCTCCCCTCCCCATCTCAGCTGGCGACGGGCAATTTCGACGAGGCCAATGTGCTGGGCCAGGGCGGCTTTGGGAAGGTCTACTACGGGGTGCTGCCCGTGCAGCCAGCGCAGGTGGGTGGGGTGGGTGTTTCACGGACGTGTGCTTTAAGTGCTGTAAGCGTTCTTTGAGGCCTTTCCATAGAGGGCTTACAAGGCCAATGTGCTGGGCTGGGCCAGGGTGGATCTGGGAAGGTCTACTATGGAATGCTGCCGGTGCAGCCAGTGCAGGTGCGGATCGAGGACATGGGCTTTAAGTGCTGTTCACATGCATCTGAGATGCACTTGCTGAGTCGAGTTGGAGGAGCGATACTTTTTGGTTTGACCTTGTTTGTAACCATGCCATCACAGGCGGGTCGACTCGGGAACCCCTTCTCGCTGTCTCCACACACTCTTCCCCTCACCCCACCTTCAATCAACCCTTCCATGTTCTCCCTTCTCCAGGTAGTGGCAGTGAAGATGCTGACGAGGGATGGGTCGACTCGATCAATGAGTCGCCTCCCTCTGTGTGTAACCACACACACTCTCCCCCCCTCTTCAACCCCCTCCCCCCCCCACACCTCCCCACGTTTTTTCTCCCCCCGTCCGCAGGTGGTGGCGGTGAAGGTGCTGACGAGGGGCGGGTCGCAGGGCGACGAGGAGTTCACCCCTCTGTGTAACCACCCACCCACTCTTCCCCCCCGCGCCCCCCCTCCTCCCCTTCTCCCCCCTCCAGGTGGTGGCGGTGAAGGTGCTGACGAGGGGCGGGTCGCAGGGCGACGAGGAGTTCACGATTGAGCTGGAGCTGCTCAGCCGCCTGGAGCACAAACACCTGGTGAGACAGGGGCGGGGTAGTTGCGGAAGACGCAGGGAGCGTCCTACGTCTAGCGTCTAGACGCTAGACGCAGGACGCACATTAAGACGCTAGACGCATGGGGAAAAAAATTCGGGCAGCCCGAAAATTTTTATTCGCTGCGCTCGAAATTGAGTTTCGCGATTTCGACACCAAATTCAATTTCGCGACATTGGAACCCCCTCCCACCCATTTCGACCATAGAAACCAGCCCCCAAGCATATGTATGATGAGATGTGAAGACATTTGTGAACTCAAGTATGGGGAAAAAAATATGGTACGGGGAAAAATTGACCCAATTGTGACATACGTGAATGTCCCCGACCCTCGCCATGTCCCATAGAAGTTTTTTTAGGCTGCCCGAACCTTTTTTTGCCTGCCCGGGCTTGCGTTTAATCCTGCGTCTAATCTGGCCTAAACTTGCGTCTAGCGTCTTAGACGCTGCGTCTAGACGCCAGCGTCTAAGACGCTAGACGCGTCTTCCGCAACTAGCAACACATGGTTTATGCAGCAAGTTAATTCGAGGTGTCTAGAAACCCGGCGCAACAAGGAGGTTACCATTGAGCTGGAGCTGCTCAGCTGCCTGGAGCTCAAACACCTGGTATGCGCAGGGGCCGCTATCACCTGGTGAGAACACAAACACCACCTGGCCTGGTGTCCCTTCTTGAAAATTGTGAAGAGATGAGAATTCATGCTTCATTTCGATCTTTCTCCCATCCACTCTATGTCTCCATCTCTCCGGCCCCCACTCACGCCGCACCTCTCCTCCTCTTCTCCCGAACCTCCATCCCTCTCCCCCGGCAGGTGAAGCTGTTTGGGTTCTGCATGCGCTCGCAGCAGCGCCTGCTCGTCTACCAGTTCCTGCATTTGAGTCTTCTCAAGGCTCCTATCTCTATCACTCACTCACACCTCCCCCCCACCCCATCACCTCCCTGCAGGTGAAGCTGTTTGGGTTCTGCATGCGCTCGCAGCAGCGTCTGCTCGTCTACCAGTTCCTGCCCAACGGCTCTCTCACGGATCACATGCACGGTGGGTTGGTTGGTGGTGGTGATGGTGAGTGTGTTGGAGATGAGTGTGTGGTGTAAGTGAGCTCATTGCTCTTCTGCTGCCTGCTCGTCTACCAGTTCCTGCCCAACGGCTCTCTCACGGACCACATGCACGGTGCGTTGGTGGTGGTAATGAGTGTGCTTGTGGCGAGTGTGTTGGTGGCGAGTGTGTTGGAGATGAGTGTGTGGTGTAAGTGAGCTCATTGCTCTGCTGTCTGCTCGTCTACCAGTTCCAGCCCAACGGCTCTCTCACGGATCACATGCACGGTGGGTTGGAGAGTGCTGCTGTGCTGATGTTGCTAGTGATGGCTGTGTGGTGTGAGGGAGCTGCTTGGTGAGTAGCGGCGGTATTGCTGTTCTGCCTGCTCGATCACCAGTCCTTGGCCAAAGGCTCTTTCACCCACCACACGCAACAGCTGAACATCAGGTCATGTTTCATCAGTTCACATGTTTCAAGCTTCAATCTTCTCCCCACCTTTCACCCCATCCCCCCTCTCCCTCTCCCCCACCATACCAGGCAAGAAGAGGGAGGAAAACGGGCCGCTATCCTGGTAGAGGAGGCTGCGGATAGCCGTGGGGTCGGCGAGGGGTCTGCAGTACCTGCACTCGCAGCGCCCTCAGCTTGATTACAGCCATTTATGGTGCACTCAGTTGTTGCAACCAGGCCCTTTCCCCCCTCCCTCCCTCTCCTTCCCTCCGCTTCACCCCTTCTTCCCACCTCCCCACCTCCACCTTGTCTTCATCCTTCCCCCTCTCACCCCCCATCCCAGGCAAGAAGAGGGAGGAGAACGGGCCGCTATCGTGGGAGCGGCGGCTGCGGATAGCCGTGGGGTCAGCGAGGGGCCTGCAGTACCTGCACTCGCAGCGCCCCCAGATCCTCCACCGTGACATCAAGTCGTCCAACATCCTTCTCACTGATAACTTCGCTGCCAAGGTGCGAGAAGGGACAGGGCTGTGTGCTGATATGGGGGCCTGCAGTACCTGCACTCGCAGCGCCCCCAGATCCTCCACCGGGACATCAAGTCCTCCAATATCCTTCTCACTGATAACTTCGCTGCCAAGGTGCGTAAAGGGACAAGGTGTGCGGGGTGGACAAGGAGTGTGGAGGGACAAGGAGTGAGGAGGGACAAGGTGTGTCGAGGGACGAGGTGTGTGCTAATGTGTGCCAGTACTCTATCCTCGTATACGAGCCTCCTCCACCGTGACATCAAGTCGTCCAACATCCTTCTCACTGATAACTTTGCTGTCAAGGTGCCTTGTCTTGTGCTTTATGGGGTTGTGGTGGGGTGTGTTTATGCGTGAAGTCAATCCCATCCCTCCCTCCCACCCTCCTGGTGCAAGCCTCCTCCACCGTGACATCAAGTCGTCCAACATCCTTCTCACTGATAACTTTGCTGCTAAGGTGCGCGGATTGATGAGGTGTGTGCTCATGCGTGGGCGATATCGTGTGCCATTGTAACGAGGTGACTTTTGAGTCGACTCAAAAGTGACCTCGTTACAATGGCAAACTTCGCTGCGAAGGTGCGCGGATTGATGAGGTGTGTGCTCATGCGTGAGCGATATCCCATCCCACCCTTCTGCCACTTGCGTTCTCCACCTTATCACCCCCTTCCAAACCTCTGCGCACTCAGGCGTTGACAAGGCTCCTCCCTTCTCCCCTCAAAACCATCCCCTTGGTTTTAATTCACACAGGTGGTGGAATTGGGGTGTGTGAAGCTGGTCAAGCGAACCATCTGGGTGGAGGACCCGCAGACGGGCGAGAGGAAGTTTCTCTGATCACTCTTGTTTCCCCCTGACCTGACTCGTCCTCCTGTTTCGACATGACTGTGCCTCTGTGGATAGAACAGGTGGCGGATTTCGGGTGTGCGAAGCTGATCAAGCAGACGATCAAGCTGGAGGGCCCGCAGACGAGGCAACAATAAGGGACCGTCCCTTCCTCTCTCTCCCTTCCCCCCTGGGCACACACTCAGGTGGCGGATTTTGGGTGTGCGAAGCTGATAAAGCAGACGATCAGGGTGGAGGACCCAGTCAAGGGGCAACAAACGAAGACGCTCTTTTCGGACTTCCCGTCCCCACTCCCCCAACCAGGTTGCGGATTTCGGGTGTGCGAAGCTGATCAAGCAGACGATCAGGGTGGAGGACCCGCAGACGGGCGAGATGGTGGAGCGGTTGGGGGAGAGCGTGGACGTGGCCATGGGGACCCATGGCCACATGGCGCCTGAGATCCTCATGACTGGGGAGATCAGCTCCGCTACCGACGTGTACAGGTGGGCCGAGTGTGCTTGTTCTAATTAACCACGGGCACACATGGTGGAGCGGTTGGGGGAGAGTGTTGATGTGGCCATGGGCATTCACGGTTCAGGGTACACATGGCTTCTTAGATTCTCATAACTGGCGAGATCAGCTCCGTGGATGGTGCGTATGTGCGCGTGGATGGTGCGTATGTGCGCGTGGATGGTGCGTATGTGCGTGTGGATGGTGCGTATGTGCGTGTGGATGGTGCGTATGTGCGTGTGGATGGTGCGTATGTGTATGTGTATGTGTATGTGTATGTGTATGTGTATGTGTATGTGGATGTATGAATGGTGGAGCGGCTGGGGGAGAGCATTGACGCCGCCACATGGCCACATGATAAGCCATGTGGCCACGGGCACACATGGCCTCATGGCTCATCACGGGCCAGCTCCGTGTCCTTCCCTTCATCATGTGCTCTTGCCTCGTGTCAACCCCAATGCGCCCTCTTCATTCCTCCCCCCCCACCGCTTCTCCCTCCCTCGCAGCTTCGGAGTGGTGCTCTTTGAGCTCATCACGGGCCAGCTCCCTGTCCTTCCCATCATGATGTGCCTTGTGTGTGTGACACTGTCTGCACTCTGGTGTCAACCCCAATGCGCCCCTCCTCTTTCCCCTACCTACCACACTGCTCCCTGCCTCCAGCTTCGGAGTGGTGCTCTTTGAGCTCGTCACGGGCCAGCTCCCTGTCCTGGCGGATGGCACACAGCTCGTGCACTGGGTACGTCTCTCTAGCAATCAGGATGTTTCTTGGACTTTTCAAACACACACAGCCCGTGCTCTGGTTCCGTCTCTGTAGCACACGCGATTAGTCTCCTTCTCTCCTTCGCTTATTTTTTAGTCGACTCAAAAGTAGCACGCTCGTCTTCTTCACTCAAAAAATACTTTAGTCGACTAGTCGACTAGCACACTCATTATTTTCTTCACTCAAGCCGATAGTTTATAATTCGCACAAACCAACTAGTCTCCTTCTCTCACTCGCTCCATGCTGCAGTTGCCATTGTGTGAGCAGAAGCCGTGTTAGGAGCTGATCGACCCGGACGTGCTTGCAGCTCAAGCTGGTTCTTGAGAAAATTATAAAAAAAAACCATTGTGTTACCTTCTTCCCATGCTGCAGGTCACTCCGCTGTGTGAGCAGAAGCGGTGGGATGAGCTCATCGACCCGGACGTGCTTGCAGCACAAGCCGGCTCCACTCCCACCGGCCCTGCTGCCGTCGCTGCCGCCGCCGCTGCCGCCGCTGCCATTGCTGCTGGCGCTGCTGCTGCTGCAGGTGGTAGTGGTGACGCTTCAAGTGCAGAGGCGGCTGGCACCTGCTCTGGGTCGAGCAGCATCAGCTCCACCAGCGCCAGCACCACCACGAGCAACAGCAGCAGCAGTAGCAACAGCAGCACCACAACAACCACCAGCAGTAGCAGTGGTGGCAGTGGGGGTGCGAGTGGCGGGAGGCAGAGGCCGATCAGTGCGTCGCTGATCCGCTTTGCAGAGCTGGCGCACTCGTGCATCCTCTTTGACCCGCTCTCCCGCCCTTCCGTGGCAGATGTGGCCCATGCCCTCCATGCCATCTATCTCGGTATGTCACTTGCATCGGCATGTGCAACATGTCATCACGGTTCAATTGCCGCATGCCATGTGTTTCCATGCCCTCCACTGTTCGTCTCAGTTCATTTCACCACCAGTGAAGCCAACGTTGCAACCAGGTTCGACTAAACACATTCAATTACATGCCCAATTCCCTGACCAATGCGCTGCCCAATTTATCTGCCCAATTCTTCTGCCCAATTCTTCTGCCCATTTTCTCTGCCCAACCCTGTGAGCAGACAAAGACTACAGCTCGATACCCTCTGCTGCACAACAGAAGCGATCCCAATCCCATTCCCAGCACCAACACCAGAACCAGTCCCAATCCCAGGGCCAAGCGGCCCAGTCCTCCTCCTCTCGCTCCTCCCCCACCACCTCTGATGATGACGGCAGCAATCGCGGGTCACACCACAAAGGCACTCAACCCAACAGCCACAGCAGCGGCGGCAGTAATTCGAGCGGCGGTGGGGTGTTACCGCCAAACGAAGGGTAAGATGGTGACGAGTGATGGTCGCGGGTTGATTTGGTGAGCTGACTTGGTTTTAGGAGCTTTTAGTGGATGGTGGTTGTTGTTTACGGTTGTTTTGTTTTCTTGCGCTGTCCCCCCACGCATTTTCTCTGCTTTCTTCTTTTTTTTGCTTTGGTCAGTGGGAGTCGAGAGGAGAAGCTCGAGCTGGTACGAAAGATGCGACAGATATTGCAAGAGGGGCAAGAAGAGGAATTACGATGGGATTCTTGAGCTACCACATTTTAGAGGTCTAGGATATGAAATTGTTACTAAATTCGAGCCGGCTCTCCACTCAACCTTGTGGGTAGGAATGCGTACAAATTAGCATTAGTGATGCAAGCAAGCTTGCACTAGCCATTGTGTAATATTAGGTGTCTTCACATCGTGTTTCTTGCACTTGATTCTTTTATATGTTGCGGATGCCTGTAACGGAAAGCTGGCAGTCCATGATCCGGGGTTGCTGCTGAGGTTCAGTGAAGATGCTGCGAACATGTGGAGACACGTGTAGAAAAAGGCTCGCGTCAAATCAGAGAAAAGCCCGCCTCTTTCCTCCCAAACCAGGCTCACACGCTAGCGTGGAAAAATGCCGCGTCGGACAGAAAAAAGTTGCTGTGCCGACCGAAGCAACAAGGGGTGGGGGGATGAGTGAAACCCTGATATCTTCCCCAATTCGCGGAGGTCTCTAGGCATTCCAAGTTCCAAGCCAACCCAGCATACCCCCCCACCCCACTTCCAGTCCAGAATTCCAGTCTCACCTCCTCCTGCCGCTTCTGCTGCTCCTGTGTGTGACCTAGGCGGTGTTCGGCAGCCAGGGGAGGGGGTTTGAGGGAGATTCGAAATGTCAGGCCTCCAGGTTCGACCTGTACGAACCAGGCAAAACACTTCAGTCAGACATGAAAAATGTGAAAAAAATGTCGAACGTGGCCCAAAAACGCGACGCGAACCCCACGCTAGGCTTGGTTCCGCGTCGCATCCTCCCCCAGATCCCCCCCCAAGGCGGAAACACTCCGCCCTATTCGGGGGATATAAAATGGATTCCGTTGAGTTGCCAGGGCTTACAAGGGATGGAAATTGGATTCCTCGACCCAGCATTTCGTGTGAATATTTACCCTAGACTCTAAATTACTGGGCTGCCACGACATCAGAAATATAATGTAAAAAAAGGAGTTTCGGAAAAATAATTATTAATTCACCAGACCTGAAATTGTTAAATTAGGACATACAATTTGATATAAGGTTGGGTTGGTCTACGGGAGGTGGGCTACCTAAACATTTCGCAACAGTAAACGCGACAGGCATGCCGAAAACTGTTGTGGGCGAGAAGCTTCGTCTCGCGCAGATGCAGGTTCGTTCGCCCCCGAATACCTAATCGCCCGTCCGCGCCTTCCCCCCCTTACGTTCCACTTGCGCCTGGACCCCAGACCTGGAGTCAACGACTGTTGACTCCGAGTTGACCAGTTTCGAAAATGGATTCCCCACCCCCCCCCTCGCTGGATCCCCTGTGCTGCCGAACATCGCCCTAGTCACTTATTGGCGAGCTACTAACCTTGGTGTGACTAGCCTTGCTGGTGCTGCTGTTGCTGGAGGGTGGCTGGCGTTGGAAGTGGCCTGTAGTGTGCTGTGAAGCGTAACCTCCCAGGGGAAACTACAGTCGATCGTGGTCTCCCATTTCGCTCCGGAGCTCACTCTAGCGGGAGCAGCTTGGTCCATCACGAGCCGCCATGAGCGGCGTGTTGGAGCTTACTGGTGAGGCCGCGTGCTCTAATCCATGCTCGTTTCTTGCTGCACTCTGAGTCGGACTCAGGGATTACCTGAAAAGAACACCTGAAGAGTCTGCTGAGCAGTCTTTCGAAATGTTACCTGTAGTTTCCTGCTCGTATGCTGACGTTTTTCGTAAACGCTACCTTTCAAAGGCTTCCATTCCTATGGTTGCATTCCTGCCATCGCTTCGTTCATGTCGTCTCGTCTCGTCTCGTCTTGTCTCGTCTCGTCTCGTCTCGTCTCGTCTCGTCTCGTCTCGTCTCGTCTCGTCTCGTCTCGTCTCGTCTCGTCTCGTCTCGTCTCGTCTCGTCTCGTCTCGTCTCGTCTCGTCTCGTCTCGTCTCGTCTCGTCTCGTCTCGTCTCGTCTCGTCTCGTCTCGTCTCGTCTCGTCTCGTCCCGTCTCGTCTCGTCTCGTCTCGTCTCGTCTCTTCTCGTCTCGTCTCGTCTCGTCTCAACTGTTGCACAGCGAATTAATGAAGTCTTCCCTCGATCCCCGCCTCCCGTATTTCCTCCATTCCTTTATTCCCGCGCCTTTCTCCGTCATCCCCCTATTCCCGTCTCCCCTTCCCCTGCTACCGTACTCCGCCAGTGGTGGGAGCGTCGTGGCTGAAAGTCACGGAGTTCTCTCTGAGGCGCCTCACAAGTCGTCTCATCTCATCCTGCCTCGTCTCGTCTGTCCCTACCCTGTCCTCCGCATATTCCCGGCTCCTTTACCTGGTACCTTTCCCTGCCAGTGGTGGGAGCGTCGGGTCTGAAAGACAAGGAGCTCTTCACGAAGCAGGACCCGTACGTCGTGGTGGAGTACGGTTCTCAACGGTTCCGCACCAAGACAGATAAAGGTGCGTGCGATAGTTAGGGGTAATGCGTGTGACGCTGATTCGGCTAGGCGGATCATGTAAGGAGGGGATGTGCCGCCGGAATGGATCATAGTTCGTAAGTAACGTAACTAACGAGCAGAATTTTATGTGAATACGAAGGAGTGTCTTTTGTAAGCATACACATCCCAACTGCAGCTTCTGCGGTGTAGAGGAGTTCTCAGCGGTGCTCCTTACCTATCCTTCCCTCCCCCACCCCTCACCAACTCCTCACCACAGATGGCGGTACCACCCCTGCATTCAACTCCACATTCCACCTGCTGCTGTTCCCAGGAGTGGAATGTTCAACCTTCACCTCAACCCTTCTCCCTTTTCCCCCATCCCGCCCACGCCCCCCACAGATGGCGGCACCACCCCTGCATTCAACTCCACATTCCACCTGCTGCTGTTCCCAGGAGTGGAATGTTCAACCTTCACCTCAACCCTTCTCCCTTTTCCCCCATCCCGCCCACGCCCCCCACCGATGGCGGCACCACCCCTGCATTCAACTCCACATTCCACCTGCTGCTGTTCCCAGGAGTGGAATGTTCAACCTTCACCTCAACCCTTCTCCCTTTTCCCCCATCCCGCCCACGCCCCCCACAGATGGGGGCACCACCCCTGCATTCAACTCCACCTTCCACCTGCAGCTGCTCCCAGGTGTGGAGGAGTTCTCTGCGGTGCTGTGGAATGACAACCTGGGGCGCGACGACGTGATTGGCAGCTGCCGGGTGAATTTCCGCCAGGCGTTCTCCATGGGCGTGTGGGACATGTGGCACCCCGTGTTCACCAAGAGCCAGAAGTGAGTAATGAGTGATTACTGTAGATGCTATATTGTGAGTTGATGCTATATTGCTGTCAGGCGTTCTCCGTGGCCTCAAGGGTTTTCAAGCATGCTGGGTGTTCTGAACATGTCACATACACGTAATATCTCGTTTATGTTGCTTGGCTGCCTGCTTGTTGTTAATGACTGAGCTGTGTACTTCCCGGTTTTGCGTGTCTTTGCAGGCAACGTGGCAGCCTTCATTTGATTATCAAGGCTCCTGGGGTAAGTGCAGCCCCCCCTTTCCCCCTCCCGTTTCCCCCGTCCCCTTTCCCCATCAACTTCCCCTTCCCCTCGCCCACCACTTTTGCCCCCATTCACCTTCCCCCATTCATTGTTATCTGCTCTTGCTTTCTCCAATGCTTGCTTTTCTGCTTGATCATTCCTTATCAAACCGCTTTCCCTTCCCTTCCCAATCCATCTCACCACTTCCTCTCTCTCCCCCCTCCGCTCCACCCTTCACCCCCTCTGCTACTCCTCACCTCAGGCCAGGGCACCCGGAGGGTACCCCCCATCATCATATCCACCTGCACCGTACCCCACCGCACAATACCCCCCAGCATACCCCCCCGCAGGGTCACCCTACCCGCCCCCATCCGGCCCACCAAACCCATACCCACCCGCCTCAGGCTACCCCGCCCCTCCCCCATCCGCCTACCCTCCCCCATCCTCCTCCTCCGCGCCTCCCCCATCCGCCTACCCTCCCCCAGCCGCATCCCCCTACCCTCCCACCGGCTACCCTGCCCCTTACCCCCAGAGCGCCCATGCCCCTTACCCTGCTGCCCACACCGCCCCTCCTGCCTACTCCAAGCCTCCTAGCGCGTCCTCTTCAATGAACGCTGTGCTGGGAGCAGTGGGGGCGTTGGTGGGAACAGCAGCAGCATATGCTGGGCATGGCCATGGGCATGGGCATGTGCATTATCCCCCAGCGCCGTATGGGTATCCCCCCCCTCCGGCGCCGTATGGGTATGGGGCTCCTCCCGTGGTGGTACACCACCATGGGCACCATGGTTACCACCACAGGCACCACCATTATAAGCACAAGTACAAGCGCAAGGGTTTTTTTCGGCAAACGCAAGGGGTTCTTCAAATGAGGGAGCTTGATGACATGATTTGTTCAAAATATCCTTGATTTCAGACAAGGGGCCTTGATTTTTGTACAGTCAAAGTTGCACATCGAGGTGTTTTTGGCCTATGGTACTTGCTTGACTCTGTTTCCGAAGTGCGCCATTATTGAGAAAAAGCCTTTTTATTTTAGTAGTGACACGTAGCTAACTGAACAAGTTGTTCTTGCCTTTGGTTATCAATTCCTTTTAAGGTAGTACGTAATGTACCTGTTTGGTCTGGTTTTTCACATTACAGCACGTTGGGCCTTCAATGCAGTCTCCCTACCTCTCCTGCACAACTTTCACGATCAGAGTCCACTCAGCATCCAGCAGCTGCGCTGCCGCTCCTAAAAGTCCTCCAAGTCATCCTCATCATCACCAAAAGAAAACACTGAAGCATCAGCAGCGCTGGCAGCAGCAATGGCAAAGTCACTCGACGGCCCAAAGAACTGCAAGTCCTTGTCCTTGCTCTCCCCTGCCCCCACCCCTGCTGCTGCTGCCGGCTTGACCGCTGCTGCAGTAACAGCAGCAGCTTTAACAGGACTGGCAGAACCAGCAGCAGTGCTTCCTGTGATCCCTGTCCCTGCCCCTGCCTGTGCCCCTGGGCCAGAGGCATTACGCAGAGGGCTTCCCATGAAAAGAGCAGACGGGTCAGCAGCCACAGCAGAGAGGGATGGGCTGGGACTGGGGCTGAAGCTCGGGTTTGGGCTGGTTACCATGCCCTGGTTACCAGCGGTTACCGGGTTGGACGGGCCACGGAGGGGCGACGAAGCTCTCCCAGCCATTCCTGCTGCTCCTGCTCCTGCTCCTGCTGCTGCTGCTGCTGCTGGGCTGGAAGCAGTACCAGCTGCTGTTCCCAGGGAGGTCAGGCTCAGGCCAGAACCGGCTGGGGAACCAATTCTCCCCAATGCTGCTGCTGCTGCTGCTGCTGCACCTCCTGCGGCCACCCCTGCTGCAGGGGAAGGAACACCAGAAACCTCCTCGAGTCCAATCAGAGGCGGAGTTTCCCTGCTCTCCTTCCCCACCCTCCCTGCTCCACCTGCTCCACGCCCCCTTCCCACCTCTTCCTTCTCCTCCTCCCCCCTCTCATCCTCGTCATCATCACTGTCACTGAAGATGTCTGGGTGCATATCGTCCTCCTCCTCTGCCCTCCTTCCGCCCACCCCCCCTTTTGATTGGCCCGTGCCACTACCACCTTCAAGTGAGTGCTTTGGTCCCCTCGAACCACCAGCAGCACCAGCACCAGCACCACAATTAGTGTTGCCAGCAGCAGTGGTTCGAGACCCTGCTGAGGCAGAAGCGGAAGCTGAAGGTTTCTGCTTCGCCTTTTGCTGCTGCTGTTGCTGCTGGGGCGTCGCCTGGGGCTTGGCTGTTGCTCCCATCATGAAGCTCTGGAAAGAAGCTGCGAGTGAGAAGCCTGACGAGGCTGGGGTTGGGACGGAAGGAGGGGGGAAAGGGAGGACAAGGGAGGAGAAAGGAGGAGAAGGGAGGGGAAGGGAGAAAGGGACTTCATATGAACGTCGAGCGTCGGCCTAGCTGTAGCTCCCATCAGAAAGCTCTGGAAGGAGGAGCCTGGTGAGAGAGAGGGAGAACCTTGAGGGAGAACCTTGAGGGAGAACCTTGAGGGGGGCTGGCAGAGATGCAGAGATGGGAACTGGAGGCGGGAGGAGCAGGAGTTTCAAGAGGGCTTCATGAAGATTCTAGAAGACGGAAGCTGCTCTGTTCGTGTATTGAATTGGCAAACAGAACTATTAGTAACAACATTAGTAACGACATTAGTAACGACACATGCAAGATCAAGCACGAAACTTCGACTCCAATAAGCAGCACAAGCGGAGTTGACTGCCAGTCATTCGACAACGACTGGCACTCCCAATCGTTTCACAAGCCGATTCTTCAGATGCCTAAATAAGAGCGGCCAAGGACCAAGACTCCCTTTTCACTCACCTTTGGCAGCAGCAGCCGGCGCAGGCTTGGAAGCAAAACCTGCAGCACCTGCAGCAGCAGCAGCCAGGCCTTTCCCCTTGGCGTCTGTCGCTCCTCCCTTCCCTGCTGCAGATGAGCTAGCAGGCGCCGAGGTGGCAGCAGCAGCAGCGGGCACAGTCCAGCACTCGCCTCATCTCACTCACCCTTGGTCGCAGCAGGCGCAGCACTTGCAGCAGAAGCCTTGCCTTTCCCCTTGGCGTCTGTCGCTCCTCCCTTCCCTGCTGCAGATGAGCTAGCAGGCGCCGAGGTGGCAGCAGCAGCAGCGGCAGCAGCAGGGGTTTTCTTCTTGGGGTGCGGCAGGGGGGCGTCGTGGTCCAGCAGAATTACCTCCACTTGCAGCCCGGGCGATGGGAGACGGCGCTGAGGGGAGCAGCGAGGGGAAGAAAGAGGGGGGGGAGAGAGGGGGAAGATGCAAGAGTGGGTGATAGCAGGGGAGCGTCGTGATCCAGCAGAATGACCTCCACTTGCAGCCCGGGTGAAGGGAGACGGCGCTGAGGGGGGAGCAGCGAGCATGGGGGGTGAAGCGGGACAAGGAGAGGGGCAAGGAGAGAGAAGGCGAGATGTGTGAGGGCTTGGGGGTGCGGCAGGGGGGCGTCGTGGTCCAGCAGAATTACCTCCACTTGCAGCCCGGGCGATGGGAGACGGCGCTGGGGGATAGTGAAGCAGGGAAAGGGAGCGGAGATGGGGGGGGAAAGGTGGGGGATGAAGGAAGAAGATGCGTGAGTGGGTCAATGCATGGCAGCGGAGCGTCGTGGTCGAGAACGGGGAGGTGTTATGGTAACGGGGAGGTGTCATGGTAACGGGGAGGTGTTATGGTCACAGGGAGGTGTTATGGTCATGGTAACGGGGAGGTATCATGGTCATGGTTGGCTGTGAGGGGAGATGGCGCTGGGGGAAGCAGTGCAAGGGTGGGCGACAGACAGACAGACAGGAAGCAATGGGGGAGTCTGTAAGCTGCCCTGTGCACTGTGCACCTCACTCACCCATTGCTTCCTTGTCAAGTGCATGATGCCCATTGCACCTGTAAGCTGCCCTCACCTTGTCAAAATAGTCAAATTCTTCAAACGGAATGACGAGGCGGTTTTTGAGGCGCCTCAGAAGTCCTCCCACCCTTCCCCCCTTGCTGCCCCCGCTGCCTCATCAGCCATACCCCTCCTCTGTGCTGCGCCCCTCACCCACCCTCCTCTGTGCTGCGCCCCTCACCCACCCTCCTCTGTGCTGCGCCCCTCACCCACCCTCCTCTGTGTGTGCCATGCCCCTCACCCACCCTCCTCTGTGTGTGCCATGCCCCTCACCTTGTCAAAGTTGTCGAATTCTTCACCACGGAATGACAAGGCGGTTTATTAGGCGCCTCAAAAGTCCTTCCACCCTCCCCCCCCCTTGCTGCCCCCGCTGCATCATCACCCGTGCCCCTCCTCTGTGCCATGCCCCTCACCTTGTCGAAGTTGTCAAATTCTTCACACGGAATGACAAGGCGGTTGGGCATCATGCCTGTGTTGAGCCAGCTGGGGAATACGGGAAAGGGGCGAGAGGGGAGGGCCGGCACAAGGGGGAATTAAGGAAAGAGGGACAGAGGGAGGATGAGAGGGAGCAAGGGAGGGAAGGAGGGACAGAGGAAGGGACGGAGGGAGGGAGGGGAGAGGGGCGGTAGAGGCAGCAATCGCCCTCCAACGACCGACCACCACCACTTCAATACTCAGGCACATGCAAGAGAAAGAACAAAAAAACACCTTCTCACCAGTAAAAATGCCCATTCCTGTCGATGAATTTGAGGCAGAAGTCCCCCTCCAGGGGGGCCAAGCCCCGCTCGCCAGGCGGGGCGAAGACCCCTCGTTTGTACCTCACTCACTCGTTTGTTCCTCACTCACTCGCTTGTTCCTCACTCACTCGTTTGTTCCTCACTCACTCGTTTGTTCCTCACTCACTCGTTTGTTCCTCACTCACTCGTTTGTTCCTCGAAAACATGCACAACGACTCCCTCACCAGTAGAAATCCCCGTTGCGGTCGATGAATCTGAGGCAGAAGTCGCCCTCCACAGGGGCTATGCCGCGCTCGCCAGGCAGGTGGCTATGCTGCGCTCTCCCGGCAGGGCGATGATCATCAACACCACCCCATAATCCTCAACAGCGTGTGGACAACACATGCGTTCTCACCAGTAGAAATCCCCGTTGCGGTCGATGAATTTGAGGCAGAAGTCGCCCTCCACAGGGGCTATGCCCCGGTCGCCAGGCGGGGCGATGGTCAACCCTGCCTCATACTCCTCAAGAGCATGTGGAGAAAAACCCATTCTCACCAGTAGAAATCCCCGTTGCGGTCGATGAACTTGAGGCAGAAGTCGCCCTCCACGGGGGCTATGCCCCGCTCGCCAGGCAGGGCGAATACCACCACGCCCTCCCTCTGTGTCGACTGGTGCCACATGTCGTCGGGCTATTGGGCGAGGGAGGGAGCGCAGGGGGAAAGAACGGAGGGAGGACAGCAGCGAGGGGGGAGGGTGAAGGTACCTAGCCCCAGACAGAAGGGTTAGGAGTTGTTCAGAAGTGAGACAAGCATAGCTTTAAGATTGCTTGTGCGAACAACCTTCGTGTGACCTTAAAACATGTTTCCCTTTCTTTTTCGTTAGAAGAAGCTGGGATTCTACGCACAAAAGAGAGACGATATGGGCTCTCACCATGAAGTCTTTTGTCTTTGGATGCTTGCGGGAGTTGAAGAGAACACCTGGCAGGCATCAAAGCCACAACCATGCATGTCAAGAAGAGAATTAGCCTTTAAATGAATTCATCAAAAGCCACAACCGTGCATGTCAAGAAGAGAAATAGCCTTTAAGGGAAGTCAAGGGCGCAGCTAGTACTGCCACAACAACGCATGTCTGGGTGAAAGATAGGTTTGGGAAAAATCAAAACCCAATCAAATCAGGAATTTCGGCGTTTTATTATGTACAGAAGTTTGATGGGAAATCTCAATCAGGAGACCACTTCTGTGGAATAGCATGACACGTGGGCACACCTGATTGGTCGGAGACAACAATGGCAGGTCGCACCCAGTAGGGGCAGCGATGAATGCGAAGGCCACGGATGTGACACCTGGCGCAACGGGATTGGATGCGGTCGGATTGAATTCGGTTGCACAGATGATCTCACCAGGATGGCTCATTGTGAAACCCAATATTGGCATGGCTCGAATTAGAATAGTTGATATGAGCCGATTCATTCATTGTGAGGGAAGACTTTCTACTATCTCGCGAAATGGGGGGGTGGGTGTTTTCAGTGTGTAGACGGGTTAATCCTGACCGTGTACTTACTTGCGGGGTGGAGGGATGATTCCGTGCCTGACCCTGAGAATCTCTTCAAAATACTTCACATATCGCTGGTGTGACAGAGCGGTGTGGGATACAAGGGAGATACAACTGGGTGAAAAGAAGGTTGAGAGGGGTGCAAAGGCTGACCCTGAGAATCTCTTCAGAGTACTTCACATAGCGCTGGTGTGAAGGAGTGCTTTGACGGAGGGGTGTGTGAGGACAGGGAGTAAAACGATGCGAAGACAGGTTAGAGGAGAGGTGGCTTATGAGGCGTAAGGGGAAAAAAAAAAAAAAAAAAAAAAACAATCAAACAAAAATGAACAAATTCTTGAGTCACTTTGGTGCAAAATCTGGGTGCAAGGCAATGAGGGCAGCAGAACAAACCTTCTGGCTGGGCAGCACAAGGGCCTTTCCATCGGTGCATCGCTTGGCGTTGAAATAGTTTATGGCCTCGTCTGCTGTTGCATAGTACTGCGGTGGGGCGACGATGGGTGGGGTGGTGGAAAATTTGAATGGGAGTGAGGGAATGGTAAATACGATTGCCTCGCCTGCTGTTGCGTAGCACTGTAGTTGTGCGATATTGGTGCTGGCAAGAGGCAGGGAAGAAGGTTCAACAGGGGAGGGGCGTGTGTTGAGGAAGAGCAGCAGAGAGGAGGCCATGAGGCCTGAGCGGAAAAAGAAGGACTCGAACCACAGGAATCCAACAGTGGGCAAAAACTTTATGAAGAACTGGAGACGTACGTTGAGGAAGAGCAGGAGTTGATGGTACTTTTGAGACTTCTCAAAAGTACCACCAGCAGTGGGCAAAAACTTTATGAAGAACCGGAGACGTACGTTGAGGAAGAGCAGGAGTTGATGGTACTTTTGAGACTTCTCAAAAGTACCACCAGCAGTGGGCAAAAACTTTATGAAGAACCGGAGACGTACGTTGAGGAAGAGCAGGAGTTGATGGTACTTTTGAGACTTCTCAAAAGTACCACCAGCAGTGGGCAAAAACTTTATGAAGAACCGGAGACGTACGTTGAGGAAGAGCAGGAGTTGATGGTACTTTTGAGACTTCTCAAAAGTACCACCAGCAGTGGGCAAAAACTTTATGAAGAACTGGAGACGTACGTTGAGGAAGAGCAGGAGTTGATGGTACTTTTGAGACTTCTCAAAAGTACCACCAGCAGTGGGCAAAAACTTTATGAAGAACCGGAGACGTACGTTGAGGAAGAGCAGGAGTTGATGGTACTTTTGAGACTTCTCAAAAGTACCACCAGCAGTGGGCAAAAACTTTATGAAGAACCGGAGACGTACGTTGAGGAAGAGCAGGAGTTGATGGTACTTTTGAGACTTCTCAAAAGTACCACCAGCAGTGGGCAAAAACTTTATGAAGAACCGGAGACGTACGTTGAGGAAGAGCAGGAGTTGATGGTACTTTTGAGACTTCTCAAAAGTACCACCAGCAGTGGGCAAAAACTTTATGAAGAACCGGAGACGTACGTTGAGGAAGAGCAGGAGTTGATGGTACTTTTGAGACTTCTCAAAAGTACCACCAGCAGTGGGCAAAAACTTTATGAAGAACCGGAGACGTACGTTGAGGAAGAGCAGGAGTTGATGGTACTTTTGAGACTTCTCAAAAGTACCACCAGCAGTGGGCAAAAACTTTATGAAGAACCGGAGACGTACGTTGAGGAAGAGCAGGAGTTGATGGTACTTTTGAGACTTCTCAAAAGTACCACCAGCAGTGGGCAAAAACTTTATGAAGAACCGGAGACGTACGTTGAGGAAGAGCAGGAGTTGATGGTACTTTTGAGACTTCTCAAAAGTACCACCAGCAGTGGGCAAAAACTTTATGAAGAACTGGAGACGTACGTTGAGGAAGAGCAGGAGTTGATGGTACTTTTGAGACTTCTCAAAAGTACCACCAGCAGTGGGCAAAAACTTTATGAAGAACCGGAGACGTACGTTGAGGAAGAGCAGGAGTTGATGGTACTTTTGAGACTTCTCAAAAGTACCACCAGCAGTGGGCAAAAACTTTATGAAGAACTGGAGACGTACGTTGAGGAAGAGCAGGAGTTGATGGTACTTTTGAGACTTCTCAAAAGTACCACCAGCAGTGGGCAAAAACTTTATGAAGAACTGGAGACGTACGTTGAGGAAGAGCAGGAGTTGATGGTACTTTTGAGACTTCTCAAAAGTACCACCAGCAGTGGGCAAAAACTTTATGAAGAACTGGAGACGTACGTTGAGGAAGAGCAGGAGTTGATGGTACTTTTGAGACTTCTCAAAAGTACCACCAGCAGTGGGCAAAAACTTTATGAAGAACTGGAGACGTACGTTGAGGAAGAGCAGGAGTTGATGGTACTTTTGAGACTTCTCAAAAGTACCACCAGCAGTGGGCAAAAACTTTATGAAGAACCGGAGACGTACGTTGAGGAAGAGCAGGAGTTGATGGTACTTTTGAGACTTCTCAAAAGTACCACCAGCAGTGGGCAAAAACTTTATGAAGAACTGGAGACGTACGTTGAGGAAGAGCAGGAGTTGATGGTACTTTTGAGACTTCTCAAAAGTACCACCAGCAGTGGGCAAAAACTTTATGAAGAACTGGAGACGTACGTTGAGGAAGAGCAGGAGTTGATGGTACTTTTGAGACTTCTCAAAAGTACCACCAGCAGTGGGCAAAAACTTTATGAAGAACTGGAGACGTACGTTGAGGAAGAGCAGGAGTTGATGGTACTTTTGAGACTTCTCAAAAGTACCACCAGCAGTGGGCAAAAACTTTATGAAGAACTGGAGACGTACGTTGAGGAAGAGCAGGAGTTGATGGTACTTTTGAGACTTCTCAAAAGTACCACCAGCAGTGGGCAAAAACTTTATGAAGAACCGGAGACGTACGTTGAGGAAGAGCAGGAGTTGATGGTACTTTTGAGACTTCTCAAAAGTACCACCAGCAGTGGGCAAAAACTTTATGAAGAACCGGAGACGTACGTTGAGGAAGAGCAGGAGTTGATGGTACTTTTGAGACTTCTCAAAAGTACCACCAGCAGTGGGCAAAAACTTTATGAAGAACCGGAGACGTACGTTGAGGAAGAGCAGGAGTTGATGGTACTTTTGAGACTTCTCAAAAGTACCACCAGCAGTGGGCAAAAACTTTATGAAGAACTGGAGACGTACGTTGAGGAAGAGCAGGAGTTGATGGTACTTTTGAGACTTCTCAAAAGTACCACCAGCAGTGGGCAAAAACTTTATGAAGAACTGGAGACGTACGTTGAGGAAGAGCAGGAGTTGATGGTACTTTTGAGACTTCTCAAAAGTACCACCAGCAGTGGGCAAAAACTTTATGAAGAACTGGAGACGTACGTTGAGGAAGAGCAGGAGTTGATGGTACTTTTGAGACTTCTCAAAAGTACCACCAGCAGTGGGCAAAAACTTTATGAAGAACTGGAGACGTACGTTGAGGAAGAGCAGGAGTTGATGGTACTTTTGAGACTTCTCAAAAGTACCACCAGCAGTGGGCAAAAACTTTATGAAGAACCGGAGACGTACGTTGAGGAAGAGCAGGAGTTGATGGTACTTTTGAGACTTCTCAAAAGTACCACCAGCAGTGGGCAAAAACTTTATGAAGAACCGGAGACGTACGTTGAGGAAGAGCAGGAGTTGATGGTACTTTTGAGACTTCTCAAAAGTACCACCAGCAGTGGGCAAAAACTTTATGAAGAACCGGAGACGTACGTTGAGGAAGAGCAGGAGTTGATGGTACTTTTGAGACTTCTCAAAAGTACCACCAGCAGTGGGCAAAAACTTTATGAAGAACCGGAGACGTACGTTGAGGAAGAGCAGGAGTTGATGGTACTTTTGAGACTTCTCAAAAGTACCACCAGCAGTGGGCAAAAACTTTATGAAGAACCGGAGACGTACGTTGAGGAAGAGCAGGAGTTGATGGTACTTTTGAGACTTCTCAAAAGTACCACCAGCAGTGGGCAAAAACTTTATGAAGAACCGGAGACGTACGTTGAGGAAGAGCAGGAGTTGATGGTACTTTTGAGACTTCTCAAAAGTACCACCAGCAGTGGGCAAAAACTTTATGAAGAACCGGAGACGTACGTTGAGGAAGAGCAGGAGTTGATGGTACTTTTGAGACTTCTCAAAAGTACCACCAGCAGTGGGCAAAAACTTTATGAAGAACCGGAGACGTACGTTGAGGAAGAGCAGGAGTTGATGGTACTTTTGAGACTTCTCAAAAGTACCACCAGCAGTGGGCAAAAACTTTATGAAGAACCGGAGACGTACGTTGAGGAAGAGCAGGAGTTGATGGTACTTTTGAGACTTCTCAAAAGTACCACCAGCAGTGGGCAAAAACTTTATGAAGAACTGGAGACGTACGTTGAGGAAGAGCAGCAGGGAGGAGGTCATGAGGCCTGTGCGGCCCAGCCCCTCCTTGGAGTGAATCACGAGCATGCGATCACTCCACTCTATGGGGCTGTTCTCATGCTGCTCCGAACTGCCCTCATGCACCACACCATCACCGCCACCGCTGCTGCTGCTGCTGCTGCTGCTCCCGTGGGCTATGGCTTGTGTGGAAGATGATGCTTCTGTTGCTGACGTTGATGCTGCTGCGGCTTCTGAAACCCCCACTGGCGTGGCACCACTTCCCCCTGCTGTGGCACCACTGCCATCACTGCCACTGCCACTCCCTGCCGCAGCCTTATCGATGTCCTCTCCTGTAACACCTCCCACCATCTCCTTCCCTTTTCCCTTCTCCTCTCCTTCCTGCTTTCTCGCAACCTCCAGATTCCCCTCCCCTTCTTCCTCTCCTGACCCTTCCCCAATATCTTTCCCATCCCCTCTCTGCCCTTCCTCCGTGTCCTTTCCTTCCTCTTGCTTCATTCCCTGCTTCTCCTCCTGCTTACCCTCCCACTCCCCCTCTTCCTTCTCCTTCCCCTCACCTGTCTTCCCCTCCCCCTCCTTCCCAACCTTACCCTCCTGCCCAACCTTCGCCTCCTCGCTCACTCTGCCCCCCACAATCGGCTTTCTCCGGTCTTCAGAAGCACTCAGCCAAGCCCGGGCAGTCAAGCAAAAGTTTAGAATGATGGGCAGGGGCGGCACCTGCCCCTCGGCAATGGGGAAAGCGCCAACACGACCGTGGAAGACAGAGGGGTCGTACTGGTAAAGGGGCTCTGAGCACAGGTTGATGATCATGTAGCGACCCTGGGGTGTGAGGGGAGCGAAACAGAAAGGGCATGAGGAGGACAGGGCATGATGGGCAGGAGCGGCACGTGCCCCTCGGGAATGGGGAAAGCCCCCACACGGCCGTGGAAGACAGAGGGGTCGTACTGGTAGAGGGGCTCCGAGCACAGGTTGATGATCATGTAGCGACCCTGGGGGGTGAGGTGAGGGGAATGAGGGAAAACGAGGATTATAAAGTAAAGGAAGCACGGGGCAGGGAAATACGGGCAAGGTAGGAGAATGGGGCAGAGAGACTGAGACAGCAGCGCCTACACCCCCACGCGGGCGTGGAAGACTGACCTGCTCTGAGCACAGGTTAATTAGAGAACTAGATTGGCTGGCTGGTACTAGATTGCCACTAGAGTAAGAGTCACTAGAGTGGGAGTGAGAGTGCGAGCAGACCTTGTGGTATGTCTCGAGGAAGTAAAGCACGTCCGTGACATGGTTGCGGTACAGACCCTGGTCGCAGGGAGGGTGGAATGGGGAGAGAGACGAGACAGAGCGGAGAGAAGGTAGATTAGGTACTGAGGAACATTGGTATGTCTTGAGGGAAGTAAAGCACGTCCGTGACATGGTTGCGATACAGACCCTGGTCGCAGGCAGGAAGGGAAGAACAAGTGTTGGGAGAGAAGGGAGGGAGCGGGGAATTAACGGAGAGTTGGTAGTGAGGGTTCGAGGGAAGTGAAGCACGTCCGTGACATGGTTGCGGTACAGACCCTAGTTGCAGGGAGGAAGGCAGAGAGGCATGTTGGGGGAGACGAAGAGGGAAGAGAGGCGAAGGGAGAGAAGGAAGAAGAGGGAGATTGGGTAGTGATGGACATGGGTACGTCTCGAGGAAGTGACGCACGTGTGTGAACCATGCATTCCTGCACACAGACATGCGTCACTTCCTGCACACAGACATGCGTCACTTCCTGCACACAGACATGCGTCACTTCCTGCACACAGACATGCGTCACTTCCTGCACACAGACATGCGTCACTTCCTGCACACAGACATGCGTCACTTCCTGCACACAGACATGCGTCACTTCCTGCACACAGACATGCGTCACTTCCTGCACACAGACATGCGTCACTTCCTGCACACAGACATGCGTCACTTCCTGCACACAGACATGCGTCACTTCCTGCACACAGACATGCGTCACTTCCTGCACACAGACATGCGTCACTTCCTGCACACAGACATGCGTCACTTCCTGCACACAGACATGCGTCACTTCCTGCACACAGACATGCGTCACTTCCTGCACACAGACATGCGTCACTTCCTGCACACAGACATGCGTCACTTCCTGCACACAGACATGCGTCACTTCCTGCACACAGACATGCGTCACTTCCTGCACACAGACATGCGTCACTTCCTGCACACAGACATGCGTCACTTCCTGCACACAGACATGCGTCACTTCCTGCACACAGACATGCGTCACTTCCTGCACACAGACATGCGTCACTTCCTGCACACAGACATGCGTCACTTCCTGCACACAGACATGCGTCACTTCCTGCACACAGACATGCGTCACTTCCTGCACACAGACATGCGTCACTTCCTGCACACAGACATGCGTCACTTCCTGCACACAGACATGCGTCACTTCCTGCACACAGACATGCGTCACTTCCTGCACACAGACATGCGTCACTTCCTGCATGCATCAAAGGCTAATCGTGCACACGCGTGTCCATCCATCCATCTATCCACCCATCCATCCATCATCACACCACACATAAATACACACCTCCACCGTGCTCGTGACTCCTGAATTCGTGCATGCAACAAACACTTTAGTGCCTCAGAATAATCTAATGCACACATCTATCCATCCATCATCACACCACATAAATACCCACCTCCACCATACTCATGATGCCAGCGTTCGCGTCGCCGCCAGCGGGAAACCCCATGGCAATCACCCCCGCAGTGATGTACGTCATATCCAGGTCAAACCCGCCCTGCTGAAACCGCCTCTTGCCGTGCGACGCCATGTGCTTCGCCTGCGTCTGAATCGCCTTTGCCGCACTCTGCGACCGCTCCACCAGCCCCTTCGTCCTATCCTGAATCACCTTCGAACCGTCCTGTAACACCTTTGTACCACCCGCAATCCCCTTCTTTCCCTCTTCAACCCACTCCATCGTCCCTTCCACTATCTCCTTCCTCCCTTCCTCCACCAACTCCTTAGTCGCCTCCATCAACCCTCTCGTCCCTATCACAAACCCCTTAGTACCTTCACCAACAAGCTCCTTAGTCCCTTCAACCAGGCCCTTAGTCCCATCTAATAAACCCTTCTTACTCTCCTCCACCCACCCCCGTGTGCCTTCCATGAATCCCTTAGTGAAAGAGCCAAGGGCCTGGCTTGCAGTCGCGGCGGCTGCTGCTGCTGCAGCCGCCGCTGCTGCTCCTGCGGCTGCTGCTTGCTCCTGTGCCTGCGCCTGAGCACGTGCTTTCGCCTGTGCCTTAGCCAGCTTCTCAGCCTTTAACTGCGCCTGCCTCTGCGCTTGGGCCTCTGCCTCTGCTTGCTTCTCTGCTTCTGCTTGCTTCGCCGCCTCTTTCTCTGCCTGTGCCATTTGCTCCCCTGTCCCGACCCCTGGGTCATCCTCCTCTGTGGCAATCGCCTTCCCCTTGTCAGCAGAGCTCAGCCTAACGCCTCCTCCTCCTCCCTCTGACCCTGCCTCTTCTCTTATCTCACCAGCAGCATCACCACCAGCACCAGCATCATCACCAGCACCAGCACCAGCACCATCACCATCACCACCACCACCACTCCCACTACCACCCTTGCCCTCCTCCCCATCCTCCTCCTCCTCGCCCACACTACCCAGGGCATCCATAACAGCAGCAAACGCCGCTTCTGTGTCCTCATCCGCGTCCTCTCCTGCAGTCGCCGCCCACTCTAGGATCTCCGCCACCAAGTCATCCCCCCCGTCAACGTCCCCCCCTTCCTCCCCTTTCTCCCCCTCATTCTCCGCCTTCTCAGTTCCCCCCTCCTTCCCAACCGCCCCTTCCTCCTTCTCCTCCTCCTCCTCCTCCTCCACTTCCTTCATTTCTCCAGCTCCCGCCGTCCGCCCCTCCTCCCGTGTGCCTGCCTCTGCCCCTTTCTCTCCTTCTCCCTTCTTTTCTCCTGCTCCCTTTGCACCCTCTCCTGCGTTACTGCCTCCGGCCACCACTGTTGCTGCCACCTTCCCTTCTCCCTTCCCTTCTACCATCCTTTCTGCCTTGCCTTCTCCCTTCCCTCCTCCCGCCCTTTCTCCCTCACCTGCTCCTCCCTGCCTCTCACCCCTCCCACCGCCACCACGACCACCCCTCCCTCGCCCCCTGCCCTGGCCTGCACCACGCCCAGCACCTGCAGCCGGAGCAGCAGGAGCAGCAGAGACCGAGAACGACTGCCATAGCTGCTGCATCCCAGCAGCTGCTGCCGCCGCAGCCTCTGCTGCCGCCTGCCTGCCACTCCCGCTCCCACTCCCACCGCTCGCACTACCACTGCTACTCCCTCCAGGCGCGCCTGTGCCCTTCTCAGAGAGGGACGTGAAGAACGACCCCAGGGCAGCGCGCGCGTTCTCCTGCAGCTTCTCCGCGCTCTTGAGCACCTCCTTGGCGGACTCGCGCACTGCTGCGCCGTCCACTGTCGCTCCCCCCCCCACCAGCCCGCCCAGCCCTGCCCCCCCTGATGCGCTGCGGACCACTGGTCCGTCTGACCCAGTTGTGGCGCCAGGCGTGCTTCCTGCCCCACTTACGCCTCCTTTTCTCCCTTCTCTTCCTCCTCCTTCCGCCGCTCCTCCTGTTTCTCCTCCCGCCGCTCCTCCTGCCGTTCCTCGTCCTGTTCCTGCTGCCCCACCCCCACTACCTGGGACAGACTGACCACCTCCCCCACCTCCACCTGTTCTCCCTGTCGCAGGGCTTGGCGAAGACTCAGGCGAAGGGCTGGCGAGCGACGAGCGAAGCGACTGCAGGCCCTTGGAGAAGAGCGAGCAACCGGGTAACGCTTGCGCCTGTTCCAGTAGCGAGGGCGGCGGAGCAGATGCCTCGGCGGTGTACCGCCTTGCTGCGTCAGAACCTGGCTTAGCGGACCTGCCGCCGCTTCTGCCGCTGCTGCTGGTCGTCCTAGTAGCTTCCCTACCTCTCCCCCTTCCCTCGCTTCCCCCTCGGCCGCTTCCCCCTCCGCGCACTTCGCTTCCCTGCGCTTCACCATTTCCGCCATTCCTTCCGCCAGCAGTTGCGCCGTCCTCCCGACTCTCCGCAACGCCTTCGCTGCGGCGAGCAGGGCCGGACGACGTGACAGGATCGCTGTCGGACCCAACCGACGGTGCCAGGTCAGAAGGCGCTGGCTGAACGTCGGAACCAGCAGTAATGGGACCGCTTGCGTCTCCTGCTGACGAGGATACGGGCGTGTCTGACGTCACTGGTGTACCGTCTGGTGCAGCCGGCGATTGGTCAGACTGTACCGTGGTGGCGGATGCGAGTGCAGAGCCCGTTACAGGCTCCGCATGCGCTGGTGCAGACGCATCTGGTGCAGGCGTATCTGGTGCAGGCGTATCTGGTGCAGGCGTATCTGAAGAAGCCGAGTCTGGTGCAGGTGTCGCCTGTACCGGAGTTGTTGCATCTGTTGGTGGGGTATCCGTCGCAGAAGGTTCGTGCGACGATTCCGCAGCTGACGAATCCATGGCTCCAGATCAGTCCAAAACCGACTTTTTCAAGAGAGATCCTACAGTTCGAGCGAAAAAATTACCACCTAACAAAAGGCAGGAAACTGAGAGAGGGTGATAACTCAGTGGGCTCTTCAATGTGCGGGTAAAATGCTACGCTTCGCGCGAAATTCCGCTTATCTCCAAAAAAAGAAAGAGTGAACAAGTAACTGGACACGTCAATGTGTCTTCCAACTGAGCTTCAGAAAAAACTATGTCTGAATGGATGATTATTCAATTCCTTCCTTTAGTGTGCTACCTATAGTCTCTCTCTCTCTTGGCCTTCTGCTGATGTCAGTGGTGTGAACCAAATTTCAATGTCCACGCTGGGAGATCCCAAGGTCAGGGGAAAGGGAAGAAAACGAATTCTCGCGTCTGGAAGTGGCGAACGTCTACGATGTTTTTCGAGCCCTGGTAACAGGGCGATCGCATCTAGAAGGTTGGTGTCAGCAGATCGGTTTGTGCCCTATTCGTGCTTCGTTACCGATGCTGTACAGTGTTTTCGATTCTGAAGTTTATACATAACAACTAGGGATAATCAACCGTGCCTGTCTCAAAACCGAGGAGCTTGAGACTCTTCAATGCATTCCGCACAGGGCGATTATTCTCGTTCCGTAGAACACCGCGGTCCGCGAACCGTCGTGAGCCCTTATCAGCTTAGTCGCCACGAAGTGCCACGACTGGCGATCAATGTTAAGTTGCTAGCCTGTAGTCTCGCTAATTTGCGAGAAGAAATCAAACACAATTGCGCCAATCAACTCGCGAGAAGAAGAATGGCGCTGGTGCTGATTTGCGGCCAGCCGTGCAGCGGCAAGTCCACAGTAGCGAGGCAGCTTGTAGCGGCTCTCGAGGCTGCTATTAACGAGCAGCAGAATAGCACTCCCGGCGATAGAAGATTAAGTGTGGTCCTCCTAGGCGAGGAGCAGCTTCACATAGGCCGAGACGACGGGTACCAAAGTAAGTCCATGGGATTTCCAGAGTGTACTGTAACTGGCACACGAGTTACAAGTTGTTACTCATTCGCTGTGTTACACCGGTCAACCATCGTTGAATTCTCAGTCATTCTCCGGCCAATTCCCGGTCGACCGTGCAGATATGGTGGCTGAGAAGAATCTGCGAGGATCTCTGCGTTCTGAAGTGGATCGCGCGGTCGGCAAGGATCGAATCGTGATCGTTGATTCGCTGAACGCCATCAAGGGCTACCGATACGAGCTGTGGTGCCTGGCTCGTGCTGCTGCCACCAAATACTGCGTGGTGAGTGTGAATGGTGAGTGTGAATGGTGAGTGTGAGCTGCGGGTTGTTCAGCGGTGAGTCTGCCTGGAGAGTCTGTGTATGTATACCCTGCCTCTGCATCCCTCTACATCTCTTTGCATCCCCCTTCTCCTCCCCCCTCCCCTTCCACGTCTCTCCCACCCCGTCTGCATGCTTTCCGCCAGGTGCATTGCGACGTGGCGGCAGAGACAGCAAGGGAGTGGAATGACAGGCGCGAAGAGGTTTATTTTTTAGGCGCCTCAGAGATACCTTCCCCCCTCCCTCCCCCCGCCCTCCCCCCTCCCCTCCCTCTTCACTCCATTCCGCCAGGTGCATTGTGACGTGGCGGCAGAGACGGCAAGGGAGTGGAATGACAGGCGCAGAGAGGGAGGGGAACCCTGCTACGCTCCCCACGTGTGAGTGCGAGATGAGTTTGTTTGGGAAAGTTCTGAGAATCAAGAGAAGCAGGGCTACTCTCCTCAAGTGTGAGTGCGAGATGAGTATGTATTGGGGAATATTTCACAAGCGTATGTAAGGGAAACGTAAGAGCGCTCTGCTAATTTCCCTTACAGGACCTAGCGTTTTCGTTTCCCCTCCCCCTCCCAGCTCCCTCTGATCCTCCTCCCCCCACATTTCCTTTTCCACCCACTCTTGCCTCTTCCCCCACTCCATCTCTCTCCCCTCCTCCCCCACTCCATGTATCTCCCCTCCCCCACTCCATACCTCTCCCCTCTTCCATGCCATCCCTCTCCCCTCCTCACCATTCCATCTCTCTGCCTGCCATTCAGCTTGGAGGATCTGCTGGGTCGATTTGAGAGGCCGGTGGGCCGCAATCGCTGGGACTCGCCCCTCTTTGAACTTCATACTGCCACCGGTACGTGATGTGCAGTGCAGTGCAGTGCAGTGCATGTGATGGTATGTGGTGCAACCAGCAGTATCTGAAGCAACCAGCGGTGTGATGCAACCAGGGTATGCGATGCAGTGCATTTGGCAGTAACCAGATGTGGTTAGAGTGTTAAATGGGTTGTGAGACTGCTGATTGACGCTGGCAAGCAGAGCCTGTCGGTGTGTTTGTCCTCGCAAGTTCCTCGCAAACACTGCTCTTCATGCTCCTAATCCCCCATTGCCAGAGCAAGCAGCAGAGGAGGCAGAGCGGGTTATAGGCGAGGTGGTGGCACTGCTGGTGGGAGGAAGCGGAGCAGCGAACGGACAGGGGCGAGCAGGCAGGGCTCTGCAACCTACTGTTGCCACTCAAACAGTGAGTCCTGACATTTGGCGCAAAAGTCACAGTGAGTCTCACTGTTTTGTCATAGATTGCATGCACATTTTTCACTCGACTGTATATTCTCAAGTGCGCTAGCCACTTATTGCACTGCAGCCTTAGCTCTGAATGCACTAAATTTAGCAATTTTGATGCTCTGATAAACATCCTCCCTTTTTTTGGATGGTGCAGGCTACAGCGTCAGATGCCAATGTGCTGTATGAGATGGACCGGGCCACAAAGGTATGGGACAGGGTGAGGGTTCAGGCGGACTGAGGCAGTGCTGTGTGTTGTAGACCATACCTGCTGGGCTGAGCAGTATGCTGATCCCTACCTACACCTTCAGACGCCTATGTGCTCTATGAGATGGACCGGGCCACAATGGTACGGGAAAGGCCGAGGGTTCACCTGGACTGAGGCAGTGGCGTTTGTTGTAGACCATGCCTGCTGGGCTGGGGAGTATGCTGGTAGTTTCATGGCTTGACATTGCCCTTTGTGAAACTCTTCCCCCCTCACCTCCTCCCCTCCCCTCCCTCCCTTTTCTGAGGCACATACCCGCACACATGCACGCACACACACCTCTTATACACTGATCGTTCTCTTCGCCTCTGTCTTTTTTCTTTACCCAGGAGGTGATATCCGCCGTGATGGATGCTCAGGCATCGCTAGGAGGCGCCTCATCACCATTCACAGTAGATTTGGGACCAAGTAACAACATAGTATTACGGCGGCCCGTTGGCCTTCCGGAATTGCAACGGTTACGTAGGACATTTGTTCGCCTGGCTGGGCAAGCTGCTTTGTCTGGGAATGCACCTCCCAAGGATGCAGAGTCGGCAAAAAGATTCTTTGCTGAGTACATTGTTCGAGAGGTTACATGAAACCCCATTAAGTGTGTAATGTGGTATTTCCTGAGTTGATGTCTTTGCTAATGCCTAGCTGTATGCCTCTCTTTGTCGCGATTCTGCTAAAATACCTATGGTTGAGCTTGTGTGTAACTCCACAATTAGATTTCCATGTATAGTCTGGTTGCTAGAAACACTATGTGGTTACAAGCAATGTATGTTAGGAAATGAGGATTGATTCAAATTATCATGTTGTGTATTCAAAGATAGTGTGACTGATTTGTTTGGGTGGCTTTCCACCACCGCCCTCGAGCTCCAAACCCTTGGCATCCTCGCCAACCCTCCCTCATCGTACTCTGTTACCCTTCGCAAGGTCTCCGCCAAACACGTATCCTTCGCCACGGAATCTCGCTACCCCAAAATGCCCGCGTTTCGCTCCCCACCACAACCTTTCTGGGGAAACTCCCCCAACCATTTCCCTCGCTTGCGCTTCCCTCCCCTCCCTCCCCTCACAGTCTCCCTTCCCTCCTCTCTGCCTCTCCCCTCCTATCCTTCCCCATTCGTCACCTCTCTCCCTCCCCTGCCCTGCTCCCTCCGCCATTGACCTATTCTCGGTATTTTGGCTCTCTTCTTTTCTCCTCTACCTCCTTTTCCGCCCTTGAGCCAGAATCTTCCCTGGCCCCATAGGCCTGCGTGGTGCCGCGCATTCTCCTCCGCACCATAGACGAGCGTCGTTTCTTTTCCAAGTTCTTAGTTTAATCGCATAAAAAAAAGGGCAGGATGGTGGCTGCAGGAACAACCGTGAAGGACGTGTCGCCGCATGCCTTCGTCAAGGCGTATGCGGCTCACTTGAAGCGCACAGGCAAGGTGATCACTGTGACAATAACGAGGGCGCTCGGGAGTAGCTGTGGTCATGCCCAGGGGCATACTAGACATCCCTTGTAATTCTCCGAAGCAGAGCAGCGCTGGCGGGAATGGGAAGGAATCCGAATACTGGACTTCGTATTACGATAGTAGCTGTTAGTTAAGGCGCAGGTCCGACAAAACCATGTAGCTCGTGACGTTGCAGGTCAGCGAGGAGCTGTAGGTTACGCTTAGGTTTCCATCACGTTAGGGACAGAGGATCCGTTGTGAAAGGAAGTTTCAACGGACCTAGTGCTGAGTCGATTCACAAGCGAAGACCTAGCTCTGGGGGGGGAGTGCCAGCCAGCTTGCTGATGTGCTTGGGTCCGTTACCCAGTAAAGTAGTCCTTGCGTTCATTCGTTCACGGCATCGTTTGGAAAGGGGTGTGCGCCGTCTCTGATGCACAATCACACGTTGAAGCGATCAGAAGGATGAAGCTGACTCAGCAGGACGGATCGTCGAAGCTGTTGATGCCAACAGTGTTAGGGTTTCGCATCTCTGAGCTCGTCGTTTTGGAATGACGGCGTGTGCCGATACGGGCTATTAGAATTGCGTGTGATCGGTACGGGTTAAAGGCGCTAGACGAATTGTACAGGTTCAATACGTGCTTGTTCGTGCGCGTCCTTTTTCTGCAGCTCGTGGGCATTCGATAGCAGGAACAAGTTACGCAGATAGCAGCACGTTTCTCGATAGCACACGTTTGCAGAATGCCACTCTTTGCACGGTTTCCTCCCTCTCCTCGTTCTCTTTCTTCTCAGTGCCGCAGTGCGTCCTTTTCACTGTACCCCGCACATTTGCTCTTCCCGTCATCTGTTTCCCCCTCCCCCCTTGTCTGGTTTTAACTCCTCATTTCCCTATTTCCGTCATTCATCCGCATTAGGGCTCCGTCTTTCCTCTCGCTTCTTTTTTTCCAAACCCGTTCGTGCTCGTTTCCCCTCCCCCAGTCACCCTCTCTTCCCACTCCTCCCTCCTGCGCTTGCTTGACCGCATCAGGTGGAGGTTCCCACATGGGCTGACATCGCTTCAGTTTTTTTCAACCTCGTTCTTACTCATTTCCTCACCCCCACCCTCCCGCCTCTTCCTTTTCCCCTTCCCTCTCTTGCGTGACCGCAACAGGTGGAGGTTCCCACATGGGCTGACATCGTCAAGACAGGAACCTACAAGGAACTTGCGCCCTATGATCCCGATTGGTACTACATCCGCGCTGGTACGTATCGCCTCTGAATGCATCGTGCACTGGAAACGTTTTTTAGGCGCCTCAGGAAGTAGTTTTAAGATTATGCCTCTGAAGGCATCTTTCATTGAGAGCAACAACAGGCATAACGAAATACTGTTGCATTTCCACATTCTCACTCGCTCCCACTCTCATTCGCCCGCATTCCTCTCTCACGTCTTGTATAAGGCTTTCTCCAGTGGGGTCGTGGCTCCTTCAATACCTTTTTCGTGGCTCGTGGGTCACGAGTGGTTCTTGATCGTGCCGTAGCTGGAGGGTGACCAGCCTGTTAACGTTGATGGACAGCCAATTTTATCACGAAGCTTGAGTTGGCCAGTTTTATCACGAAGCTGGTGTTGGCGCTGGAACAACACAACCCCCTTCTTGGCAATCACCTGTGGAATCTCAAACCTTGCGTCCTTTCTCTAATGTTTTCCTGCCGCGTGTCCCTCCTGTAGCCTCCATGGCTCGCAAGGTGTACCTGAAGCCTGGCGTTGGAGTCGGTGCCTTCAAGAAGATCTACGGTACGTATTTGGCGAGGAAAAAAATGTTTTTCTTCTATGCTTCTTCGCCTCCCGCTCCTCCCCTTTTTCACCCCCCCCACTCTCGCGCTCTGTGTTATCCTTGTTTAAGCGCAGAGTGCTTGCAGCACTTGCAGCTGCGCTTGTTCAAGCGCTCGTCTCGCACTCTGCGTTCATATCGTCTGGGGCTGCGGTTTCTCCGGTCCTCTCTTCTTCCACTTTGTCAGGGCCCTCCACCCCTCCCTTTCCCTCCTCTTTTTCCTCTGCAATCTGTTCCTGCTGCCATATCCCCTCTATCCCTTTCTCATATCCTCCCCCCATATCCCCCTTCCTTATCCTCCTAACATACCCATTCATATACCCCCCTCCCGTATCCCCCTAACATGTCCTTCTACTATTCTCCCCGTCCCCCCTTCCCCCTCCCCCCTCTCCCTTCCCACGCGGGCCGAAGAACGTGTAGCGGCCGTTGCGCTTCTGCACGAGAAGCGGGTCCGTGGCCCGACACGAGTTTAGAGAACCCTCAAAACATATCCCCCTCCTATCCCCCTCTCCTTCCAATTCCCCACTCCCCCTCGCCCTCCCCCCTCCCCCCCATTCCCCTCCCAGGCGGGCCGAAGAACAACGGGTCGCGGCCGTCGCACTTCTGCAGGAGCAGCGGGTCCATCGCCCGGCACGTGCTGCAGCAGCTCGAGTCCATCGGCATCGTCGAGCAGGACACCAACGGGTGAGTGGGTGTGAGCGAGGGGGTGGGAGAGCTCAGGACGGTACTGTGTGGTGGGTGTCATGCGGAGATAAGTGGAAGGTGCTCAACACGTGCTGCAGCAGCTGGAGTCCGTCGGGAGAACAGTAGGCCAACGGGTGATTGAGTGTGTGTGAGGGGGTCAAAGAGAGAACAGGGTGGTGGCCGTGTGTGATGGGGTGCTATGTACGGAGTGCCATTGGTGGCGTCATCCTGTGGTGACTGTGAATGACTCAGCTGTCGCTTCAAAGGGCATAGCATGAGCTGCAGCAGCTGGAGTCAGTTGGCGCTGCAGAGCAGGACGCCAATGGTGAGTGGGCGTGTTTGCGACAAGCTTTCATGCTGCAGGCTTAATGATGGGGAGCTCTCAGCCTTTTCTGAGCAGGACTTACTGGACGGAAATGAGGATCTGATAGGCCAAGGCGAGGGTGCTTTGTTCTCAGTGTTGCTGTGTCCGAGAAGAAAACAGAGCTAAATTGTCTTCATTTTCTTGTGCACGCGTAATTTTTATTTGCAGTGGGCGTCGCATCACCTCCGACGGGCAGCGTGATCTTGACCGCATTGCTGGACGGGCTGCTGCTGCCGCTGTGGAAGGTGCTGAGGAGGAAGAGTAAACTGTTGGCTTTCCTGCCATGCACAAGCCTGCTGTGTTAAGAATTCGTAGCACAATGTAGAGCGCCCACGAAATGTCAAGCTTCTTGTGCTTTGAAATGTGATAATGAATCAACAGTCTCACCCTGCATTTGAAGCTGCATTTCCTTGGTTTTATTTCACAAACAACCCAGATTCCCTAAATGTATTAGTTACCTGCACCTTCGTTCTAAGCGGGCGCTACGATTTTCACCACTGTAAAAGCCTTCCGCACCGAATGCCCACGTGGTGCCACCGAGAATGCCGAGCTGAACCGAGAACTGACCAAACCAACAATTCCACATTCACTGGCTCTGCTGAAATACGAACAGCAGCGGCAGCGACAGACTAGACTAGTCCAGTACTGAATCACTGCAGAAACAGCTATCTAACTTCACTTGAGCCTAGGTTACTCCAGGATACTAGGCTATATTTGACCTGAAGCCTCCTATTCGGAACAGGGTTCCTGTTTTTAAACTGCTTCTTATTTGATATTTTCTAGCATCCGACAAGATGCAGGGCGCCGAGGTTTCGAAGCAGGTGCAGCAGATGGTGGAGTTTATCCGTCAAGAGGCCGAGGAGAAGGCTAATGAGATTGCTGTTGCTGCGGAAGAGGTATAGCATAAAGCTCGGATAGTTACTAGCTATCTTATTCGTCGCGCCACGCTCCAGATCCGAAGTTGGAGCCGTTCTCGCGACAGAATGACATCGCTGGATCCCTAATGCAGTCGCGTTTTTTTATTTCGTTCAGGAGTTTAACATTGAAAAGCTGCAGCTCGTAGAGGCGGAGAAGAGAAAGATCCGTCAAGAATATGAGCGCAAGGAGAAGCAAGTCGAGATCGCGAAGAAAATGTAAGCTCGTTTTACATCTATGATCCATCCAGTTCTGGCTTGTTCAAGCTCCGCATTTCACCCAAATTTCACATTAAGATAAGAGACAATGACGGTATTTTTCCCTTTTTGCTGAAACAGCGACTATTCCAAGCAGCTGAATGCATCTCGACTGAAAGTGCTGCAAGCTCAGGACTCCATTGTGAAAGAGATGAAGGCCGCAGCAGAGAAAGAGCTCCTGAAAGTCTCTAGTGACACCAAGAAATACACTGAACTGTTGAAGGACGTGATTGCTCAGGTGAGACTCTTTTAATCTAACGTTTCTCCTCGAATCGAAACACCCGTACGTTCTTCATATGGTGATCCCTTGGGGAGCATTTTTTTCCGAGTCTCATGATAGAAGCCTGATTTATTGTCTCCATCGTTCCTTTATATTTCAGGGACTTGTACGCCTGAACGAGTCCGCAGTGCAGCTTAGATGCCGTGAAGCTGATGCTGCTGCTGTGAAAGCTGCTTTGCCCGGAGCGATCCAGGAGTATGTAACTGTTACCAAACAAACAGCGCCAACTGTGGATGTGGATAGTGTCAAGTTTCTGCCTGCTGCACCTCACTGGTATGCCACATGCCAGCTATGTTTTTACAAATATCTCTGATTATGCCATGCTTATACCTTCGTGATGAAGGTTCATGCAATGTGCGCATTGAAGTTGTGACCAATCTATGGCTCCAATATGTCATTTCATGAGCAGTGCTGGAGGTGTTGTGATGGCTTCCAAGGATGGTCGGGTGGTCTGCTCCAACACGCTCGATGCTCGCCTTGAGATTGCATTCAAGCAAAACCTTCCTGCTGTGAGTCTTTTTCCTGAAACACTCTGGCAATTTGCTTTTACATGCTGTTTGTTGCCGTTTGTCTTCATGTTGGACTTGTCCTTGGTATGAATCTCTAGTTTGTCTGGTATTCATGTTTTCTTGCCCAAATTCCCCTCTGCATGCAACTCAGATCCGTGCGTCCATGTTCAAGACAAGTGTGGTCTCCTAGGCTCGTTTGGAATGAAGGACATCTGCAAGTGAATTAGACATTCAGGGCACTATCGTATTCAACTTCATGGCTCTCTTGCTGGGAGGCGATACTATGAACTAGTGTATGTAGACAGCAGCAGTACCATAGAGTTTGGGTTGGGAGACATCGTGATTTACCAAAATTCCAGATCAGGCTTTGTACTAATGATGTAGATGAAATCTTCTTAAATACCTATATATACTGGTATCTGTCATGGTGCTCTTTCCAGACATGACCTCACGTCTTGTCTGGGGGCTAGCCCACATTCCATTGTTTTTCATTTCAGAATTGGATAAAAATGAAACAATTGCTTCACTCTTAAAACATGTCCAAAAAGTACCTTCCCTCCGATACCCCCTTCAACCCATCGCGAGCCCGATCCCTGGACCCGTCTGTTTCTTCATGTACTCATCCGACAGCCGAGCTTCATTCATCAACTTCTGCTCGTGCTCTATCTGCTCTCCTGCCCTTACCAGCTCCTCTAGGGTTTGCTGGAGAGTGGGACAAGTGGGGGCAAGGGAGTGCGGGATGATAGGAGAGGAGGGAATGGAGGACCGGGAGAAACATTTAGGGTAAGCCAATGTCAGCAAGGAAGGAGAAATAGGAAGCTGATGGAAAGAGGGAATCGCATTAAAAAGCTTTTGTGATTAATATGCACTAGATTGGAAGCATGGTGGTGGTGGGAGCAGCGTACCGCAGGCGGGTCGACGGAGGGTCTGGTGTCCTTGCCATCGCTGCCATCATCCCATCTCCTCGGCTTGATCAGCAGCTTTCCCACCTTGGATGGCCCTCCGTTGGCCTCCACCCACTGGGAAGGTAGGGGAAGTGTGGGTAGAGGGAGGGTAGAGGAATAGGGTTTATGGTTGGTGGAGGAAAGGATTTTGAGTCGACTTAATAAGGCTTCCTTGCCTGGGATGGCCTACTGTTGGCTTCCACCCAGTGGGAAGGAAGGGGGAAAGGGTGGGTAGAGGACAGGTGAGTGGCGAACAGTGTGCGAGCTCAGCGTACAGTAACAATGTATATAGTCACACTAGCTCAAGTTCGGATGCAGAGTACACATGGATCTCAAATGCGGACATGAATTTCGCTTTGTTACACCGTCAGCATCAACACACACACACACACACACACACACACACACACACACACCTACATACCTCGAGCACTTTCTCATCGTATGTGCGCGCACGAAGGGCACCATAGAAGTCCAACGCTGCTCTCAGAGCAGGGGGAACAGCAGGGAGGAAACCACCGAGGGGGGTTGGAGGGAGCAGTGGGGGGTGAGGGAGGACGGAGTGTGGAGGGAGGAGGGAGTAGGTCAGAGTGAGAATGGAGGAGGGAGGAGGGACGCAAGTTTGCTGCATTACCTGGGACATGAGTCTCAGGTGATGCTAAGGCAGGGGGGTAGAGGGATCATCCCTCGTTTCCTTGATGTGCAAGGAGGAAACGAGGTGCAAAGTGGGCCAGCGTTTGGGACACTGAGTGCAATCAGAAGGAGCACTGAGGGAAAGAAGATGGAACAGGGTGGGCGCTGAATTAGCGAGAGGTAAATAGAGTGCGGAATAAAAGCAAGAAAGTTGAGCATACGTTGGTTTGGAAACCTGTCGACGAGCCTCTCGATATCTTGAAGTGATAATCCGTCTTTAATGTACATTCGGTACACTATATTCACTATATCCTCCTTCGTGGGCTGCCTGTAACGGATCCGGACAGAGGTCGGGAAGGATGGAAGGAAGGAGGGGATGGGGGAAGGGCGGAGCAAGGGGGGAAGAGGGGGGAGAGAGGAGCGGGTAGTTAGTGACACGACATGAAAGGGTAATTAGTGACACGAGATGCGAGGGTAGTTATTCACAGGAGAGCAGTTAGAGCCAAGGTGGATGGAGGAGGTAATGCAGTCAGATCGCCTACAGAATACTTAGTAGTACCTAAAACTCTGACAGGGGTATGGGGGAGTGCTGAACTGGTCTTGCTTGCCTGCATGTACCAACCAAGCACTGTACCGCACCATACCATACCACACCATACCACACCATACCACATCTCAGCTCACCAGTAGAACTTCTCCATGCGTCCATCACGAATCAGCGGCGCCTCGTTCCCAGTCACGATGACGGGCACACAGCGTGACACCGCCCAGTACCGCACTGTAGGACACCATAACAGACTGCACCACTCCGAGCCGTGCTGCACCGCATCTCAGCTCACCAGTAAAACTTCTCCGTGCGTCCATCACGAATCAACGGGGCCTAGAGCGTGCGAAAATCATTTCCAGTGACGATGATCGGCACTCGGTTCAGCAGGTCCCCCTCTACCCCACCGTACCTCACCGCACCGTACGACACCCAACCTCACCAGTAAAACTTCTCCATGCGTCCATCACGAATCAACGGCGCCCAGAGCGTACTGAAGTCATTTCCAGTCACGATGATCGGCACGCGGTTCAGCAGGTCCCCCTCGCGCCAGTCCTGCCCCACACTGGCCCGCGTGGGGTCGTCACAGAGACTCATGAGCGTGCCCACCACCATCTGATTGTTCACCGTCGTCTGTGTGTGCGCTGTTTGTGGGTTGCAGGGGAATAGGAGAGACAGGGGGGGGCAGGAAGAAGGGGTTGCAGTGGGTTTAGCAGGTCTCCCTCACGCTGGCCCGCGTGGGGTCGTCACACAGACTCATGAGCGTGCCCACCACCATCTGATTGCTCACCGTCGTCTGTGTGTGCACTGTAGGGTTGGGGGATATGGTGGGGCGGAAACAGGGCACCATCGGTTCAGCAGGTCCCCCTCGCGCCAGTCCTTCCCCAGGCTCATGAGCGTGCCCTCCACCACCATCTGATTGCTCACCGTCGTCTGTGTGTGCGCTGTAGAGTTGGGGTATGGTGGGGAGGTATGGTGGGGCGGAAACAGGTCAGCATGGGTTCAGCAGGTCGCCTTCGCGCCAGTCCTGACTCCTGCCCACACTGGCCCGCATGGGGTCGTCACACAGACTCATGAGCGTTCCCACCACCGGATTGTTCACCGTCGTTTGGGTGTGCGCTGGTTGTGGGGTATACCATATCGTTGTGGGAGCACGAGGAAAGGGAGAGGGGGGAACGAGGGGAGAGGTGGGGGAGGGAGGTGGAGCAGCGGTGTGGGTAATAAGGTACTGGGGTGGGGGTATGAAGCATCAGTTTCGAATGCATGGTGCACCATGTGCCATGGAATGAGAGCAAGCAGCTCACCGAATCGGCCAATCCCGGCATCGAGGTCGTTGATCATCAAAGCACTCATTTTGCCCTGCACATGCATAAAAAAAAAAAAAAAAAAAAAAAAAAAAAAAAAAAAAAAACAGAAGGCAAACACACACACACACACACACACACACACACACACACACACACACACACACACACACACACACACACACAAAGAAATCAAATAACAAAGAAAAGGAAACAAATGACAAAGAAAAGGAAACAAACCACCCCTGGACGGCAACTTAGCTTACATGAATCCATTTAGCGTAAAATCACATGTGTATTTAGTCTACTCAAGATCTAGGTCTTTTAATCCATAAAAAAAAAAAAAAAAAAAAAAAAAAAAAAAAAAAAAAAAACAACCCTTATTGTTGATGACGAGATGTGCATCGCGGTAGCAGAGTTCTGATACACCTTAAAGCCCACCTTATTGCTGATGGATAGCCATACCCTATTGTTGATGACGAGATGTGCATCGCGGTAGCAGCGTTCTGATACACCTTAAAGCCCACCTTATTGTTGATGGATGGCCATACCCTATTGTTGATGACGATATGTGCGTCGCGGTAGCAGAGTTCTGATACACCTTAAAGCCCACCTTATTGTTGATGGATGGCCATACCCTATTGCTGATGACGAGATCTGCGCCGCGGTAGCAGCGTTCTGATACACCTTAAAGCCCACCTTATTGTTGATGGATGGCCATACCCTATTGTAGATGACGAGATGTGCGTCGCGGTAGCAGGGTTCTGATACACCTTTGAAGCCCACCTTATTGTTGATGGATGGCCATACCCTATTGTTGATGACGAGATGTGCGTCGCGGTAGCGGCTGCGAATGAGCCTCCCAGGTTCGCCAGCCCACTCGCTTTCCATCTCTCCAGCTGACAGAATGATCGGCTCCAACCCCAGCGCCTTGAATATCAGCTCCACTTGAAACGTCTTCCCCTGCCCTTTCCCACCCCATATGCCTGCAGGTGAAGGGTGAAGGGGGGCAAGAGAGCAAAACAGACAGAATGAGCCTCCCAGGTTCGCCAGCCCACTCGCTCTCCATCTCTCCAGCCGAAAGAATGATTGGCTCCAACCCCAGCGCCTTGAATATCAGCTCCACTTGAAACGTCTTTCCCTGCCCTTTGCCACCCCAAATGCCTGCAAGAAAATTTGTGGGGGTGCAAGATAACAAACAGACAGAATGATTGCCTCGAATTCAACCCCAGCAGGTCATATGCGCCTTAAGGATAAAGAATCTGAGGTAGATGATCCTTAAGGATGCGCCTTAAGGATCAAGAATCCAGTCTGTTCTTACTGAGTTGGTTGGGACGTACCGAGGATGAGTGGGATCCTGCAGCTGAGCTGGGAAGCGAGGTAGTTCTTTGCAATGAATGTGACTGTAACGGGAAGAATGGGGGGAGAGAAAAAGACGGGGAGGAGGGGAGGCACACAGCAAGAGGGGGAGGCGAACGGGAATCTGTGGCTGCTATTTGTCCGCCTGCGAACAGTTGAAATTCTGTACAGATGCAGAGATGCACAGAATCTCTGTTGAAATTCTTTCTTGAGTTGAAGGCAGATTATTGAGAGGGAAATATGGAACTCACCGACTTTGTCCTTTTGTGGCCGAAGGATGAGACGAGGCACATCGAGGATGGGGATCAGACGAAACACAGAAAACATCAGATGGGCAGGATACAGGAAGCATGAAGGTGTGGCATCGAACAAGTAGGCTATTTTGCAAGTTATTAAATTGGTTCTTAAAATCAGCATGCTTAAAATCTTAGAATTGCCGGAAAATGTGAAAAAATGCAGTGGTGAAAAAACAGCAACAGCAGGCTACCCGGAAGGTGGGGCCGATCTGACTTCTGAGTCGACTCAAAAATCAACTTAGCCTACGAGGAAGGTGGAGCAATGTAGTCGTCCCCTTGAATGTGCTCTAAAGGGTTTTTTACCACAATTTCTCAATAATGGCCCACCAGGAAGGTAGGAGCGATGTAGTAGTCCCCCTGAATGTGCTCAAACGACCGTGTCACGCTCTGGCGATACTTGAACACTATGTCCGCTGGTGGGGTGGAGAGAGGGGTAGGGATGGGTGGGAGGTGGGGGGACGGGGGGGGGGGGGGGAAGAGAGGGGACGGAGGGTGACACAGTCCCCCTGGATGTGCTCAAACGACCGTGTCACACTCTGGCGGTACTTGAACACTATGTCCGCTGGTGAGGGGGGGGAAGGGTGGGTGGAAGGAAGGGCAGGGGGGGTAAGAATGGGAGGGGGGACGGGGGATATAGGGAGTGGGGGAAAAGGGTGGGGAGCATGGGAGGGGGGACGGGGGAAATAGGGAGTGGGGGAAAAGGGTGGGGAGAATGGGATGGGAGGGGGGGAGGGGGAGACAGGGAGACAGGGAGTGAGCAAAGGATAGATCATTAAGTGGCTGAGACAGAACAAGTGCCCTCATACCCATTTTCCCATCCCACCTCCCTCCCCCTCACTTTTCCCCTCCGTTCCCCCTCCCCCTCCCCCTTTCAGTTCACCAGGTTCACCGCCACTTTCATCCCTGCGATCACCTCCTCCCCCCACCTCCGCGCTCACCGTCGTTGCCCACTCACCGTCCTTCCCCACTCACCGTCCTTCCCCACTCACCGTCGTTGCCCACTCACCGTCCTTCCCCACTCACCGTCCTTCCCCACTCACCGTCCTTCCCCACTCACCGTCGTTGCCCACTCACCGTCCTTCCCCACTCACCGTCCTTCCCCACTCACCGTCCTTCCCCACTCACCGTCCTTCCCCACTCACCGTCCTTCCCCACTCACCGTCCTTCCCCACTCACCGTCCTTCCCACTCACCGTCCTTCCCCACTCACCGTCGTTGCCCACTCACCGTCCTTCCCCACTCACCGTCCTTCCCCACTCACCGTCCTTCCCCACTCACCGTCCTTCCCCACTCACCGTCCTTCCCCACTCACCGTCCTTCCCCACTCACCGTCCTTCCCCACTCACCGTCCTTCCCCACTCACCGTCGTTGCCCACTCACCGTCCTTGCCCACTCACCGTCCTTCCCCACTCACCGTCCTTCCCCACTCACCGTCCTTCCCCACTCACCGTCCTTCCCCACTCACCGTCCTTCCCCACTCACCGTCCTTCCCCACTCACCGTCCTTCCCCACTCACCGTCCTTCCCCACTCACCGTCCTTCCCCACTCACCGTCCTTCCCCACTCACCGTCCTTCCCCACTCACCGTCCTTCCCCACTCACCGTCCTTCCCCACTCACCGTCCTTCCCCACTCACCGTCCTTCCCCACTCACCGTCCTTCCCCACTCACCGTCCTTCCCCACTCACCGTCCTTCCCCACTCACCGTCCTTCCCCACTCACCGTCCTTCCCCACTCACCGTCCTTCCCCACTCACCGTCGTTGCCCACTCACCGTCCTTCCCCACTCACCGTCGTTGCCCACTCACCGTCCTTGCCCACTCACCGTCCTTCCCCACTCACCGTCCTTCCCCACTCACCGTCGTTCCCCACTCACCGTCCTTCCCCACTCACCGTCCTTCCCCACTCACCGTCCTTCCCCACTCACCGTCCTTCCCCACTCACCGTCCTTCCCCACTCACCGTCCTTCCCCACTCACCGTCCTTCCCCACTCACCGTCCTTCCCCACTCACCGTCCTTCCCCACTCACCGTCCTTCCCCACTCACCGTCCTTGCCCACTCACCGTCCTTCCCCACTCACCGTCCTTCCCCACTCACCGTCGTTCCCCACTCACCGTCCTTCCCCACTCACCGTCCTTCCCCACTCACCGTCCTTCCCCACTCACCGTCCTTCCCCACTCACCGTCCTTCCCCACTCACCGTCCTTCCCCACTCACCGTCCTTCCCCACTCACCGTCCTTCCCCACTCACCGTCCTTCCCCACTCACCGTCCTTCCCCACTCACCGTCCTTCCCCACTCACCGTCCTTCCCCACTCACCGTCCTTCCCCACTCACCGTCCTTCCCCACTCACCGTCCTTCCCCACTCACCGTCCTTCCCCACTCACCGTCCTTCCCCACTCACCGTCCTTCCCCACTCACCGTCCTTCCCCACTCACCGTCCTTCCCCACTCACCGTCCTTCCCCACTCACCGTCCTTGACCACTCACCGTCCTTCCCCACTCACCGTCCTTCCCCACTCACCGTCCTTCCCCACTCACCGTCCTTCCCCACTCACCGTCCTTCCCCACTCACCGTCCTTCCCCACTCACCGTCCTTCCCCACTCACCGTCCTTCCCCACTCACCGTCCTTCCCCAGAAAGTCCCCCACGAAGACGCTGTCGATGTTGCCGTGCTTTGCGCCCACCGTGATGCGAAGGTTGTCCGCCTCTTGCCCCAGCCGATACAGATAATCCTTCCCCTCGTAATCCTTCGCCTCCCACGACGACGCGTACCCGCCGCCGCCGCCGCCGCCGCTGGCGCTGGCGCTGTCGCCGTCGCCGTCGCGTGCGGCTGTCGCCGCGGCGGCCGCTGCTGCAGCTGCGGCTGCGGCTGCGGCTGCGGCTGCTCCCGCCGAGGCGCCTGATCCGTGGCCCAGGCCGACCGCGTCGCCTCCGCCGCTCGCGGTCACGCGTACGACGGGTCTACTTTGGGATTTGTGGCGGGAAATCGACGGGGCTGTATGCGCTCGACGCGCGCGGAAGAAACTGATTCTGGCGGAACCAAGACTGCGGTTGTCGGGCCCTGGCCAGACGGCACATTGCCTTCGATGCGCCTGGAAGGTAGTTACTTGGAGGGTGCATTGATGCAGCGAAGATGCTGGACAAGACGCCATGGGATAATCAAGCCGGTTTCCTAATTCTGGGGCCAATTCTCAAGAGTAGATAACTAAGGAGGTGTTTTGGGGAAGTGGAATGTGGAGGCTGAATGGTGTGCTTCAGTCTGTACGCGTTTGAGGTCGATATCCATTTTATCCGAGTCACTCACTCTCGTTCTGCATTCGGTTTGCTCGGTGGGTCAAATTATGTTTCCCATCTAAGAAAATACAGTTGCGAGTTTGACATTCGTTTTTGCACAGTGTATTCATTGACCCCCTTACAAGAACCAGTCTGAACCAATCATCGTGCGCGATCGCATCCACCCTGTCCCCTTGAACTTGTCCCGCTTCGCGGTGTAATCACGCTGGGCTTTCCCGCGCATTTTGCGCCCTCAACATTTTCCTCGAATTCTTATTGGACATGTGGCATGAGTGCCTGTTTCTTGGTGGCTGGGAAGGAGTCCTCCTTTTCACCAAACCTAGAGCTTTGCTTGGGAGATTCTCTCTCAATTCAGGGAGTGTCGTTCGTTTACAGAGGTTAGTTGTGCGGTTCAAGACGGTGAATAAAGAAATCGTTCAAAAGCGTAGTCAACCGTTCTTCACCGTTTGAATTGGATGGAAATCGAATAATGGAAGTCAACGGTCCCGCTTACAAGTGTCGTTTGGCTGGTGGTATTTCGAGTGAACAGCAGTTTTCTCTCTGACATGGCTGCTCCCACATACTCTCTTACTCCGTAGCTGCACTTCTGGACTAATCGCTTGACTGACTGTCACTACACACAGTTGAGTTAGCTGTGGGTAACGCAGCTGATATATTCCGCATGACGCTTGCAACAGGCCCTGGCTAATGACTGAGCTTAACGCGCTTGCTGGGGCTACGAGTGTCTTGCTGAGAATCTGAAACGCCGAAGCTAAAGCAGCCAGTGCTAGTTCAAGTTAAGCAGTATTCTTCAGTCGTCGATCAGAGAGTTCAGACGAGGATAAGAAGAATGCGGTGGTGTTTAGTTCAAATTCCGCTGTCGAACTTAGCTGCTATCGTCCTGTCATGTGCTGATCACTCATTGTTAGAGGCAGAACAGCACTAACATCACTAGCAGCACTGACAACGCTGACGTACCACCAGTAACAACAGTAGCATACAGCTGGTGCCTCCAGTTTCCGAATATCGAGATGAACTACAGAGGACTAGTAATCGCGTGCTTCTATGGTAAGTACCGAATACTCAAGCCGCCATTTAATACGAGAAGTTACACCTCATTGCGAAATCTCCAGAACTATTCCATATCAGTTGTCGTTACTTTCTGCTTTTTGTACCAACCATGGTGAATCTCAGTAGCTTTTCATCTGACTGAAAAATACCCTCTAACTTTGATCACCATTAATCTCCTTCACGTGCACCAGGCGGAATGTCAGTCGCGAGCGTGTTTATCAACAAGGCCATTTTCCACGTGTATCATTTCAACCATCCGTACACGCTGGTTCTGGGTCAAACATGCTTCACGCTCGTCCTCCTACTGCTCATGCGACGGTTTCGAGTCATCAGATTGGCACCGTTTCAGTTCTACGTCTTCCAACGAGTAAGCAATCATCCCAAACGGTATGTAACGGCTCACTCATACCCGCGCTTCTTGCTCTCGACTGAAATTCGCCAGATTGGCTTGATACTGCTTCCGACGAATATGGGTAAGCAATCATCCCAAGCAATCATGTCTTGATACTAGCTATCGCATATGCGCGCTCTTTGTTCCGAACTGAGCCTCTCGTCATCCATTACTACTCAGTAAAAGATGCAAGCCTGGTCTAGCTGATTTCTCGTTTTGCTCCCGCTCCAATCCAACATACGTGGCAAATTCTGTAATGCTCGAACACTCGGATCCCCAGCGTTCCTTCAGCACCCATTCCTCCACCTCTTCTTTCCTTCCCCACCCTTTCCCCCATTCTTCCCCTCCACTTTCCCTGATCCCTCTCCTCCCCCGAAACAGGTCTTCCTTCTGTCCTTCGCCTTCCTTCTGAAGCTCCTTCTAGACATGTCCGCCCTTTCTAGAGTCAACATCCCCATGTACGGGGTCCTCAAATCCTCCACCACTCCCTTCGTCCTCCTCCTAGATTACTTCCTCCGCTCCAAGAAGGCTTCAGCGCGAATCCAGCTAGCCGTTTACCTCACCACAGCAGGGGGGTTTATAGCAGGGCTAGGAGACCTGACCTTTGACCTGCCAGGCTACATCCTGGCGCTTTCATCCGCGTTAGCAACAGCCGCGTATGTCGTTATAGTGGGAAAGCTTGGGGAGGAGCTACAGCTGGACTCGTTCACGCTGCTGCTGTACAACAACTTCTGGTCGCTGCCGTTCTCGATCCTGCTGGTGGTGTGGAATGGGGAGCTGGTGGCTGTGAGACAGGTGCTGCACCCGCAGAGCGCCATGTTCCTGTTTTACTTTGTGCTCTCCTGCGCGTCTGCGTTCATTCTCAACCTCGCCACGTACCTCTGCACGCTCGTCAACGACTCGCTCACTACCAGCATTGTCGGTAAGGATGGCTTTTGGGTGCCTCAAAGGGGAAGAAGGATGGATTTTGGTTGACTCAAAGGTCAAGGTGGTTTTCATTCTCAACCTCGCCACGTACCTCTGCACGCTCGTCAACGACTCGCTCACTACCAGCATTGTCGGTAAGGATGGCACGAGTGACTGAACAGAGCTAATCATCAGTGCCGTGAAATGGTTTGGACGTCATGGGTGACTGCATGTGTGATGGAAAATTGCGTTCAATGCTACTGTTTTCTTGTCCCCTCGTTGCATGCCCTCTCATTGGCCTGTCCTGCTATTCATCCGCCCTCTTACTCAACTTCCCTTCGCCCCACCCCTGTGCTTCATCTGCTTGTGTCGTTCAGGCCGAACCAAGTCCATTCTGCAAGGACTTGGTGGGCTCTTCGCGTTCGGCGATGTGCTGGTGAGACATGACAACACACACACACACACACACACACACACACACGCACACGCACACACACGCACACACACACACACACGCACACACATACACACACACGTACCTGCACACAAACACACACACACGCATGCACACACACACTCACACCAGATTATGCATTTTCCATACCTATAGCACGAGATAGGGGAAGAAGAAGGAGTTTGACAGAGAAGCCAGTTTGTGTTAAAAAATGTTTGTTTGCTTCACACAGTCAAGCACTTACCTCGATCTCTTCCCGTTTCCTGACCCCATCCAATTATGACTTCTTGTCGTCACTGCCGTCCGAACTCCTCCCCACCACAGCGAATTATCGTACACACCATCCCCCTTCCAACCTTCTCCATACACCTGACCTTTCCTTCCTCCCTCTCCCCACCCATTCGCAGCTAAATCCCTCAAGCTGCTCGCTTTCCTAGGCGCCTGACGAATTTTTTCATCCTCCCTCTTCTCTCTACCCAAATGCAGCTGAACCCCACGAACCTGCTGGGCCTGCTGGTGAACTCGTGTGGAATCGGGTGGTACGCGTATGAGAAGTTCCTGGAGGCGAAGCGGAAAGCCTTGTACCTGGGGTCGCCAGCTCGCCTCAAAGGCAGCCGCCCCACCACTGACACCATGACCATCACCAGAGACGGCTCCCAGGTGAGTGAGTGTTACAAGGATTTAGAACAAGGGAGAAGAGAAGCTGTGTAGTTGGAATTTTCTGGGCAGCTGCCCCACCACTGACACCATGACCATCACCAGAGACGGCTCCCAGGTGAGTGCTGTTGAGGGCTTGGGTGGTACGCGTATGAGAGGTATCTGGAGGCGAAGAGGAAGGCCTTGTAGCTGGGGTCGCCTTTTGAGGCGCCTCAAAAGCCGCCCCACCACTGACACCATGACCATCACCAGAGTCGACTCCCAGGTGAGGGTTGTGGAAACGGTTTAGAAGAAGAGGGGAGGTGTGCAGGTGGAAATGAAAGGGCAGCTAGGCACACACGCACCACTGACACCAACGTTACCAGAGGCAGCTCCCAGGTGAGTGGGTGTTAAAACGATAATGAACAAGGGAAGAAGGGAAGCCTTGTAGGTGGGATGAACAGGGCAGCTAGGCGCACCACTGACACCATGACCATCACCAGAGATGGCAGGTGAGAGCAATGCTGAGACGAATTAAAGCAACGTGAGAGCTATGTAGGTGGAATGAGCAGGGCAGCTGGCCCCAACACTGACACCGTTACCATCACCAGAGACAATTTTCAGGTGAGAGTTTTGGAGACGATCTAACACAAGGGGGGGGGGGCTGTGTTGATGGAATCAACAGGGCAGTTAGCCCCACCACTGCCACCATGGCCATTGCCAGAGATAGCTTCCAGGTGAGCTCTTTGAATGCGATTTAAAGCATGGGGGGAACTGCAAAGGTGGAAGGAATCAAGAGGGCGGTTAGCCATGCAATGACAGCATGACCATCACCGCGGAAAACTCTGCTGGTTAGCGTTGTCTTCTGCGGCGCCTCAAAAGCCATGCAATGACAGCATGACCATCACCATGGACAATTCGCTGGTTAGTGTTGTTGAATTAACTCCATAGGCCCCTCAAAAGACAGCTCTCAGTGAGGTTTGGGAGAAGGTAAAAGAAGGGGGGAGTTTGTAGGTGGGAGTGTTGTTGAGGACGTGTCAGAGCAAGGGGAGGAATTCATGTAGCTGGTACTGATAGGCCACTTAAAGGGCAGTCCACTACTCGTATCATGACTGAGACAACATATGGCTCACATGTTACCAACACACAGAAAGGACGAGTGGTTGAGAGGTTTGAAGTGAGGTAATGGGTTGGGTTCCTTTTGGAAAAGGATGGTTCACATGTTAATACACGGAAAGGACAAGTGGTTGAGAGGTATGAAGTGAGGTGATGGGTTGGATTCTTTTGGAAAAGGATGGTGCACATGTTACCAACACACGGAAAGGACAAGTGGTTGAGATGTTTGAAGTGAGGTAATGGGTTGGATTCTTTTGGAAAAAAAATGTTCACATGTGCAAGTCATGATACCTCAAGGAGCCGTTGATACAGAAACTGTAACGACAGCTGTATTCCTAAGCTGCTTTTGTGTGTTGTGCCTTGTGGTCAAATGCAGGTATCGCTAATCTACACTGGCAAGGAGGCAGATGGCCAAGATTCACGAAATGGCCTCGTCTGAACTTAGGGGCGCACTTACAAAAGAAAAAAGTTTTTGCCATGTCATGTGTTCCTAACAAGCTTAGTGTAGCCATGATTATTTTAGTCGCCTTAAATGTGTTGATAAGTAACTAAGCGTTAACCGAGTTGCTTTAGAAATGGTGTGACTATCTCACATGTGTTGCGACTATAAGCTGGCTTGGGACCTTGGCACCATAGTTAGCAAAACCGCAAGACATGTGCACTAACTTATATAATACATTAGCAAAAATCTACATGAATGAATGAGTAGACTGGCCGACAGATACTGTAATGAGGTCCTATACGTGGAGGACAACACTGAAATGGAGCTCACCACGGTGGAGGCTCAGCGACAAGCCAAACTGACTGAAGTCAGGTTCGTGACCTGCTCCGGTCAGTCACGGGAGATATACGAGGCACGTCTCTCAAGCACAAACCAGTCGTTCGGCAAAACAAGACCTTTTCCAAAGCACCCCGACTTGCGGACAAGCCTCGTTCGGCAACCCCAAACCTGGACGTGACACACGTTGCACGGCGGACGAGCCGCTTTGCGAAAGTCACCATGTTGGCCCGTCTTGCGCGACGGCGCGAGGAGTTTCCCTCGTCGTGACGCGCGACTCGGTCACCCACATCTCTCACATCCCATTCCCCATCTCGAAAATTCTCAAGGCGAGGCGGAATTTGTATCAGCGGCGCGTCACTTGCGACATTTCATGTGACTGCAACCAAACGCCGCTCCCTCCTCTTCTTATCTGCTTCAGCCCTACTCTTCCTCTCTTGCTCTTGGTGCTCCGCGCAGTTTCGTTTCCCTCTTCTACATTCAGAGAGTAAGAGCCGCCGTCCACTGGCTGACGACCCATTCTCCAGATTTTTCTTGTTTTTTTCTCATCGAGAAAAGGATACCGATCACGAGGAAGAACAATAAGCAGGACTTCTGAGCGCGTAGAGCCTGAGGTGTTGTCGATTGTTTAGCACAACGGTTGAGGTTTAGCAGCTGCAAGCTGAAGCTAGCGCTTCAGGAATTTCTTAGACAAATCCGCACCATGGCTTGGAGATTCATGACGCTCGCACTCGTTCTCACCCTCGCCATCTTCGCCGCTGTCCCACAAGCCAACGGCGGCAAATACGAAACGTGGGCTAAGGGATTCACAGCCACGTATTACGGCGGACAGGGCGACGGCGGGTCTTGCGGGTACGGAACCGCGGGTCAGTCGGGCTTCGGCGTGTTCACCGCGTCGGCCTCTGCGTCGCTCTATCAATCCGGGTTGTTGTGCGGCGCGTGCCTTCGCGTCAAGTGCGTCAACAGCCCGCTCTGCAAACCCGGTGTGTCGCCGATGGTGACCGTTAGTAACCTGTGCCCGCCGCTGTCGTCGGGGGGATGGTGCGACGGAAACAAGATGAGCCTGTCGCTCGCGCCGACGACGTGGAACATGATTGCAACGAATCCGAACATTGGAGTTGTACCCGTTGTAGTGAAGCGCGTGCTGTGCCAGCGGAAGCGGGGGATCGTGTTCAACGTGACGGGGAACCCTTACTACATTGAAGGTGAGAAAATCACCTTTCGCAAATCGCAATTTCGCAATTCGCACTCTCGTAACGTGTTACTCGCATTGAGTAAGAAGCTCATATCTCGTCGAATGTTTTGGAGCCTTCGTTGTGTGGTGATAATTCCGTCCCGCGGCCATTCCGCGTTTTTATGCATGCAATAGCTCATATCCAATCGCCTCTTCCGCCTGCCTGCTCTCTGAAAGGCTAGCCTATTGTATTGAACCCTGTCTCGTTCATGCTTTCCTACTCTGTCGCGTCTATTGCAGCTTTGATCAAGAACGTCGCGGGATCGGGCGATCTCCGCCGAGTAGACCTGTCGCTGAACCGCGGTCCGTTCCAGCCCATGGTTCGATCCTACGGGTCGGTCTGGACGTTTTCGGGGCAGAAGATGACGGGCAAGTCGCTTTCGTTCCGCCTCTTTTCGCGCAACGACAACGCGTCGCTCGTCATCTGGAACGCGCTGCCTCCTAACTGGGTCCAGGCCGTGAACTACATCTCGAAGACGAATTTCGGCTTCGCGTAAGGACGGATGGAAGCGGTGAAGAAGTTACGGTTTCGGATGATAAAACAAGTAATGTGATACTTTTGCAACCGTAAAACACGTTGTTGGAAGCGGTCAAGAAGTACTAGCAAAATAAAATTTGTAGGAGAGTTTACCGAAATGTGACGTGACGTTCTTTTAGCCAATAAAGCAGTTTAGTTGTATCTATGTAACCTGTTGAATACCAAACTTTTCGCCATATTTGGCGATAATGTTGTTTTTATGCTTACATCCAGAGTGCGTCAGTGGTCTTCGTACTTTTACCCAGCGTCATGCTTTTGATAGTGCTTCATATTTCGCCAGAATATAGCAGCAAGTACTATGTCTGACCAGACAGGGGCTGATGCATGCGGCTAGCAGGAGAAGGTGGGGAAACTGCATAGTATGGGAAGAAACGTGAAGGATGAACTATGAGCTTTGAAACGGACAATATAAGCACCGTCCTCATCCTCCTGCTCACCGCACCTGCACTCGCATGAACACCACCCACGTATTGGTCTGTTGCAATGCCACCTTTATATGAACATTCAATTTAGGAACCTTCAGATCCAGACACCCCCTATGAAATTGCCACGACCCGCAGTCAGAGGTATGAGTAATGTGAAGTGTAGTCGATGTGCTGTCATTTTTGTACGTACGGTACTTCAAAACATTTGAATCAAGTGTACAATACACCCAAAGACAAGCAGTGCCCTTCCAACAAATCAAACAATAAATACAGAGGCACTGTGTGCATGTCCCTTCTCATTCCAAAAACACTCCCACAGCTCAAGCCAGCCCTCCCAATTTAGGTACTAAAGCGTCTGCTGCACTACTCAGCAGCAGCTCAAGGTGAGCTGCTGCCTGATGGAAATCCATGACTAAAAACTTGGAAGTACAGGCCCGGGTTCCGGTGATTCCTCTCGCAATCCCATATTTGATCTCGTGGCTGACATCGTGGCATGTCGTAGCCTACCCCTCCACGTGTGCAGGGTATAGGACCTTGTCAAACAAAAGGTGCCACGGGGATGCTTGCAGCTGACACGTGGCAGGACGAGATTGGAGGGCAGGGGAAATGCGGGTTAGATGCAGCGTGTGAAGGGGAGAGGTTGGTGGGCAAGGCACAGCAAGGAAAGGGCCGCCCTTACCACAAGTGGCATGGTTGGGGGACAGAGGGGCACAAGAAATAAGGGATGGGGAATGGAGGCATGGAGGCATGGGAAACGGTGACACCCACAATTTCGCCCTGCTGCTGCAGGCACATCCCGTTATGGTCACACCTCATTACAGCCACTCCTCACCATCAGCCTCGAGTCTCGGGCGGAGACTGATGGTAACACCTCATTACACCGCATCCGCTTATGGTCACCCCTCGTTACAGTCACATCTCACCATCAGCCTCGAGTCTCGGGCGGTTTGCAATGTCCTCCTTGCAGAGCGGGCAGGAGGAGTTGATCTTGAGCCACGTGTCAACACAGGATTGGTGGAAATGGTGGCTGCAGGGCAGCTCTCGAAGGTCCACCCCGTCCCGATAGCGACCCAGGCAGATGCAGCAGAGCTGTAGGGTGGGGTGCGGTGGGGTGCAGTGTGGTGAGGTGGGGTGCAGTGGGGGTGCGGTGGGGTGTGGTGGGGAGGAACAGAACAGAGTAGGGGATAAGTAGAAGGAGATGGGAAGTCCGGCAAATCCCGATAGCGACCCAGGCAGATGCAGCAGAGCTGTGGGGTGCGGTGGGGTGGGGTGGAAGGAAAAAAAAGAGGATAAGTACGGAGGGAGAGCAAAAGTCCACCCCATCCCACTAGCGACCCAGCCAGACGCAGCAGAGCTGTGGGGTGGAGCGGGGGCGGGAGAGGGAAAAGGGACAAGGGATTGAGGTTGGGGAAAATGGAACAGAAGAGAAGAGAAGAGGGAGAACAGCAGGGTGAGTATAGGGGTAAGGTACGGTTTACTTAGTCGACAGGGAGGACAATGAGGGGAAGGAAGGAGGATGGGAAGGGTGTAAGGGAGGAGGAAGGGGGTATTGTTCAGGGGGTATGGGAGGCGAGGAGACAAGAGGCTTAGCTGGGCTAAATGATGAGATGAGGATATGTGGGTTGAGGGAAGGAAGAGAATCAGACTTACAGCATCACCCCCCCGCACTGGTCTCTGCTTGTCCGTGCCAGGCCAAAGCAGCCCCACCACACTCTCTTCCTCCTCATCCGACTCCCCTTCACTCTCACTCCCCCCTTCCCTCTCCCTCTCACTCTCCTTCTCACTCTCTTTGTCCTTCGCGCTCCCCCTCCTCTCTCCTGTTCTGGTTACACAATCTGCGCACTCCCTCCCTCCACACGCAGAGGAGGCCTGGTAGCAGCAACTACCCCCACCAACAGCACCAGCAGCAGCATTTCCTGCAGCAGCAGCACCACCACTGCCAGCAGCAGGACCAGCAGCAGCTGCTGCAGAATTTTCAGTCGCAGCACCAGCAGTGCCAGCAGTGCCAGCAGCAACAGCACTGCGTCTCGTCAGATATCCGCCTAGTCTCCCAAACCACCCGCCCGCTCCTCCCCCAACGCCCCCTCGCCCTTGCGCTGCTCCGCTCCCTCCCACCACTCCCCTCCCTCCTCCTGCCTCACAGGCTCCTCCTCCCATGCCCGTGCCTCTTTTCCCACCCATCTTGGAATTCAAGAAACCGTCGGAAACACCAGCTTTCCCAGCAGCAGCAGCCCCGGAAGAAGCAGCAGCAGCAGCAGCCGCGCCAGCAGCAGCACGTTTCCCTCGCAGCCGGACCACCCGGCCGCCCCGCCCATCCGGCAGCCTCCGGTACTTGAACGAGGGGAGAGTCGTGATGGCGGCGGTGGTGGCGCCTCTGCTGCTGCGCGCGAGGGGGAATGCACCGCCGTGCTCGTCGTCGTGGTGGGGGTGGCCGAGGAGGTGCAGCAGGCAGGGAAGGCAGCAGCATATGGCGGCGCAGAGGAGGAACGGCAGCGCGTAGCTCACACAGCTGAGGGTTATGAACAGCACGCTCAGACTGTTTGGTGGGGGATGGGGAGGGGGGTGGGCGGAGGGAGGAAAGGGGAGACAGGATACTGAGAGTGAGAGGCGGCTGTGCGTTTGGGAGAGCGCAAAAGGGGGAATGTAGAGAACGGGGGAGCAAGGGGGGGAGGGGGAGGTGCAGCAGGAGGTCGTGGTCGTTTTCTTCGTGGTGGGGGTGGCCGAGGAGGTGCAGCAGGCAGGGCAGACAGCAGCAGATGGCAGCGCAGAGGAGGAACGGCAGCGCGTAGCTGACGCAGCTGAGCGTTATGAACAGCACGCTTAGGCTGGGAAGTGGGGTGGGGGGGGGAGGGGGAGGGGAAGAGAGATGGGGAGTGGGCATGGCGCGTAGCTGACACAGCTGAGTGTGATGAACAGCACGCTTAGGCTGGATATACGGGTGGGTGGAGGGGATGGGGACGAAGGGAAGGCAAGCAGGAGGCAAGGCGGAGAATGAAGATGGGGAGTGAGAAAGCGGGCTGTCCGATTGGGGGAAGAACCACTGATTGTACTAAATGGGGGGGAAAGGGTAGAGGAGGGCGGGAAGGACCAGCGAAGTGGTAGAGGAGGGCGGGAAGCACCAGTGAAGTGGTAGAGGAGGGCGGGAAGCACCAGTGAAGTGGTAGAGGAGGGCGGGAAGCACCAGTGAAGTGGTAGAGGAGGGCGGGAAGCACCAGTGAAGTGGTAGAGGAGGGCGGGAAGCACCAGTGAAGTGGTAGAGGGCGGGAAGCACCAGTGAAGTGGTAGAGGAGGGCGGGAAGCACCAGTGAAGTGGTAGAGGAGGGCGGGAAGCACCAGTGAAGTGGTAGAGGAGGGCGGGAAGCACCAGTGAAGTGGTAGAGGGCGGGAAGCACCAGTGAAGTGGTAGAGGAGGGCGGGAAGCACCAGTGAAGTGGTAGAGGAGGGCGGGAAGCACCAGTGAAGTGGTAGAGGAGGGCGGGAAGCACCAGTGAAGTGGTAGAGGAGGGCGGGAAGCACCAGTGAAGTGGTAGAGGGCGGGAAGCACCAGTGAAGTGGTAGAGGAGGGCGGGAAGCACCAGTGAAGTGGTAGAGGAGGGCGGGAAGCACCAGTGAAGTGGTAGAGGAGGGCGGGAAGCACCAGTGAAGTGGTAGAGGAGGAGGGCGGGAAGCACCAGTGAAGTGGTAGAGACGGGGAGGTAAGCAGCAGAGGAGCAGCAGTGAAAGGATTATGAGGGGAGGTAAGCACTCACTTGTAGAGGTTTGGAGCAGTGGTGGGGGCAGAGTTAGCGCCGAACACCCAGACGTTGCCCAGCACGAACCACACTGCGAAGAAGCAGTCGAGTGTTACTTTGTAACGCTCCACTAGAGCCAACACCCTGCAAAGGTCGGTTTACGAGGGGATGGGGAGACGTGGGAGAGAGAGAGGTTAAGGCCGGTTTGGGGAAACGGGGAAGAAGAAAGGGAGAGAAATGCGTTGGGATACGAAGATATTACTCGCATCGCCCCATGCTACCGCACATTGGCCTATGCCCACCGAAAGGCACCCTTTACAGCCCTACGTCACCCTATACAACCGCACACCACCGCGGGCTCACCGTGCGTCGTCTTGAAGCTCGTCCACGATCCACCGCACACACGATAGCATCCTCTCCCCGATCGCCGCCGCAATGTGCCGAAACCCGCTGTACCGCCCCGCACCGTACACTTCATCCTCGTCATCGTCATCATCATAACCATTATAGTATATTGCACTGTACATGTCTACACCGCTGGCAGCAGGCCATCCACCTCCTCCCGCGATATCGTTGCTCCTCTCGGGATAAAAACCACGGGCCGCCTCAGGCACCAAGCCTGCAGCACTAGCCGGTTCGGCGCTTCCAGTAACGCTGGCCCGGAAAGGGGTTGCCCATCCGCCCGCTGCCCCCCCTCCGCCTCCGCTCCCCCTTGCGCCTAGGTATGGGGTGTTAGGCACCGTTTGCGCCGCCGGAAACAGCAGTCCTTCCGGCGAGCGGGGCCGTAAGGACGAGAAGGAAGAGGAACTGGAAGAAGAGGAGATGGAGGAGTGTAAGGAGGAGGATATGTCGACCGCTGATACGGAGGCGGCGGCGGCGGCACGTGGGAGTCTGAGAGGCGACATGGGCTGTGACGACGCCATTGCAGGCCGCGACGGCGTTTCGCGCAGCCGCCACTGCCGCCGCCGCCGCTCCTCCTCCTCCTCCTGCTGCTGCTGCCACAGTAGAAAGTCCCCGCCGTTGCGGAGGGCGCGGTGAGTGTAGCGAAAGTACAGAAGCGGGAGGAGCAAGAGGCAGCCGAGCGTGTAACCGAGTATCCACAGGCGCAGCGGTACCGGGGGCTTCTCGTGGGGGAAAAGCGCGAGCACGCACACGCCCGCGGAGATTTGCGCCAGGATGCAGAGCAGCTCGATTGCCAGCCACACGCGGGAGTTGAGCGGAACGGGACGCGCCAACGGGGAGGTGGAGGAGTCGGACGGGCGGGGGGCGGGCGAGCGCGCGCGCAACAGGCGCGGTGGGGCGGAAGCGGGCGGGAGAAGGGCCGTGGAAAGAGGGGAGATTGGCGGAGTTGATAACGGTGGTGTGGTTGACGCATGCGGTGAGGGATGGAAATTGCTGGTGTCTTGATGGGTGTAGCCGGAGGAAGTGAAGCGCTGGTGCTGTTGCTGCTGCTGTTGCTGGTGCTGTTGTTGTTGGTGTTGCTGCTGCAGGGAATGCTGGAGGGCTTGCTGCAATAGTGTCGCCTGAGACGACTGGTCATGAAGCTGACGGGGAGCGCGATGATTGGGGTACTCGCGGTCACCCGAATCCAGCGAAAAGGGTGGAGGAGAGGCAGAGTTCAAGCCCATGGCTACGCGATAGTCCGTTGGTTCAGGAGGAAGATGATTAGCAACAGGACCCCAAGGATAATCTGCAGGGGCGCGGGGGGGATGCTGAGGAGGAAAGGTGCGTAGCTGATGCGCGGATGGGACGGCGGAAGGAAGCGCGGCGTAATATTGACCGTCGTTATTGGCCGATGATAATTGATCGAAGTGGTAGGGAGGCGTAGGGAGTCGAAAAGGATTCGGGGAGGCGTAAGCTGCGGCGGGATCACGGGTGTGGATGCGCTCCGATGCGTGAGACGAGAAAGAGCGGGATCGAACGTAGTAGCTGTTGTAGAGGACTCTCCTCTACTTTGCAGGAACTGGGAGTTGTTCTAAACGATAGAGCTCTGTCTTAGCTTTCCAACGAGCCGTCAAACACGTCGATCGCCTAAGTATTCTCCGAGATATAGGCGTTCACGTGCTAGGTGGTGCTCTTGAATGCAAGTAAAGAAGCTCTCTGGAATTTGTGTTCGAATGTACCTTGTACAAAGAACTCTGAGTTTCACTATGATGGCATGCAATACAAAGAAAACAGATTTATAGCATGCAAACAAGATCGAATCGCACAAGTAACCTCGAACCGCTACACTCGCGAATGTTCGAGTAACATCGAAAGGGTGAAATTCGACTCTCGAATTTCACCGATCCGAATTCTCCTTGGGTCTCGAATGTTCCTGGTGCTGCCATGTGGCACCGAATCGAATGGGTCTTCCGAAGTCAATCCTCAACCCCACGCAAACCTGCAACTCACTCGAAGGTGAGCACAAGTCACACATTCGGTGGGTTGGGGGCATACAAACGCCCCACCACCACCTTGCTTCCAACACACGTAATCTCCAACAGTAGCTGTCCGGGCTCGTGATATGCTCGACGCCGAAAGGGCTAACCGGGGACGGTGGAATGCAATCCGGTTTGGTGCCGGGTGGTTCCATGGTGCAGGGTCTGGGAGCCTGGTTGGGGGTAGCGACCGACGATTGTTGGATTGGTCGTCGCCAGTCTGTCATGTCGCCGCTCCGGGATTGTGGAAGTATTTTCTGTGCAGAATCTATAGAGCGGCGTGAATCGCCTTATCTTTACGTCATGGACGGCCGATCCTTGAAAATAAAAGTCCTTGGAAGATGTGAGTTTGTTGGAAGCAGAGGCATGAGGGAGGCGAACACCAACACTGCTGATACATCTATTCCTGGCAATGAACTGAGTTTAAGGGTCAATGAGAGAACGTCGTGACCAAATACCAGTCACCGAGCTTGCTGAGTGGCATTCGACATACGAAACCCAAAGCGCTTCGTGAAACAAGGGTGGTGCAAAACCAAGGGTCGATGTCCTTGCTTATCAGCAAGAAAATCAAGGGAATTGCTCGAATCCGTGAATGAGATGGTGTGGGTGAAAATCTTGGAGATGGATGAGATCATCAAGGGACGGATGAGATCATCAAGGGACGGATGAGATCAAGGAGTTGAATGAAATCAAGGGGGCGGATGAAGCCAAGGGACGGGTGGGTGAAACCAAGGGTGGCTGGTTTGGTCTTGGAAGGCAGAGGCGGCGCGGGAAAGGTAGGGCAGGGTGGGTGGTGGGATGCGGTTCAGGTGCGCGCATTCGATATGCAGGAGTGCTGTTTCCATTCCAGCCTAGACGAATTGCAAGCAACGGGGAAGGACGGTGGGGGGGTGCGGCGATCCCTCCTTTCATGAGTCTTCTTGACATTTGCTCGCAGAAAGCAAGTGTGGTTGGCGTGTGTGATGCGGAATCTCCATCCCGCATGTCGCAGGGCTGTGGGGAAGCGCGCATTCCTTATCTCGGCATCCCGTGTCGCCTTGGGTGTGGCTATTACGAAGTTTATCCAGCCTATCCCGATGAGTAGGGAAAGAAATGGGGTCGAGGGGTTACCACTCGAGCGGCTTCGCGTACGAATGATTGAGTTGATCCTAAGGTTGTGTCGTTATAAGCAACGCGCGAAACCAAGTCCTCGTTTGGAGAACATTGCTGTGTGGTGTTTGTATCAATCAGTGAATCTTCTGGGGCAAAGTGGCATCGCACTTCGCCAGAGTCACATGCTTGTGTTTCACTTGAATTGGCATTCTGGAATCAAACCGGCATTCTCCAGCACCGCTCAATAACACTTGTCAGTGCTTGTCGCGAAAATTACAAGAATCAATTGGCCGCAACATAGTCGAAGTACATGTACGGAACATTACTATCTATACGTTGATAACTTGGAAGTACAAAAATGTGCATGGATGTCGGGTTGCATATTCAACGTGACAATACGCCTCTCCCTCTAACACGTTTAACAAGGCGGAAGCAGACGGCACTGCTTTTTGAATAGCAATATCGGCAAGTAGATTTTTCCAATCACTGTGGGTATACCCATGAAAACTGAGACCATTTTCAGAGAACAGCCCCACATGCCTTTTCCCCCACTCATGATTCGCCTGAAATTCCTGCCATCCCTAACCCCACCAAACGCATGTGCCGTACTCATAAGTATCAAACTCCCATACTCCCACCCACATTTGTATGCATCCTCCCACCCACCCCACACCCATCCAGCATCCATCCATCCCCTACCTGGTCTGCCTCCCGGCATCTCTTGCATGGCAGCCTGCTGTGGCAGAGTCACACAGTTGTTTTTTTGTGCACACCTGTGAAATTCAACCCACGGTTGCAAATACTTGAATACTACTGGACGTGAAATACCGTAGGTGTTCTAACACGTTCAATGTTGTGCGGTGCCACACATTGTGCCAATTATTTGATAGATTTTTGGCACGACAATCTTGACGCTACACTACACCACCCATACCTATCCCGAAAAAGGAGTTACAGCAACCCATTCTTCGACTAGTCAACCAACACCCTACTCCACCACTCCGTTCTCCCTAGCAGCAGCACCGGCAGCACTCCCCTCCTCCACGTCCTCATTCACCCCATCTGCCACCGGGGGTGGTGCTTTCACAGAGCTCTTGCCGCCCTCAAAGTGCTGCGAGTAGGGAAAACGCTCCGCACACCGGTCCTTCCATCCTGGACGACGGGGACGAGGGGAAGGAGGAAGAGAGGGAGGAGGGAAAAGGTTTCAGAGTCGATTCAAGCATCACCTCTTGCCGCCCTCAAAGTGCTGCGAGTAGGGAAAACGCTCCGCGCACCGGTCCTTCCATCCTGGTCGATGGGGACGAGGGAGGAGGGAAGGACGGAAAAACCAGAATACGATCCTAGGGCTTCATCTCAGCCCCACAGGCCCAAGCATCACCTCTTGCTGCTGCCCTCCAGCTCAACACTCTCAAAGCGTTGCCTCTTTAAGTGCTGCGGGAAGAGAGGAAGAGAAGCAAGGGCGGGACACAGCACGGCAAGGACTCGCAGGAAAGGTGGTGCGATGCTGCGAGAGTGAGAACTCACTTTGCGCAGCCGCCTCCTCGGCCAGAGGGCCTTCCTGCAGCAGCCGATGCACCACCGCGCACTCGTATTCACACACCTTACCGTTAGTTTACAACAACAACAATCTCCTAAATTAATAGTGACAACTCACTTTGTGCGGCCGCCTCATCAGCCAGAGGGCCTTCCTGCAGCAGCCGATGCACCGCCACACATTGGTCAAGAGACCACTCGCCCACTCCCTCCGCCAATGCTC